TCCTAAAATATTAGTGAATCTTGTGAACAGCCCTATCATTACGGAGGAAACCCTCCTGTGCTTGAATTGTCGCAAGACATTAATGAGGGATCCAAGCCTACTATCCCATATGACTACACACACTGACATTGAGGATATTGGAGAAACGAACTTGGGTCAAACTGGGCCAAACTCATCAGAAATAGCGTCGAGTCCGACGAGTGTCAGTACTAGCCTGGATGAGGACGTCCTCAGAGCTGAAGCCGCAGAAAAGGTCGACGATGTTCTTACAACACTTCAACAATCACCGATGCGGACAAGTAAGTGGATAATTACATGAGATCAAATTATATCGTGATTATTTCTAACCTACTGCACCAAATGATATTTTGACCATCACTGGGGCACAGGGGCGGGTGCCCCCTCCCCCCAGGAAGAAACATATCATTCAAATAAAGTAATTGATGACGGATGACAAAATACGAGCCGCATCAATCTCTGTTGACGCAGACCTGAAGTCATTGCTACATTTATTTTTTATAAAGCCCTGACACTTATCTACTTTTCCAGAGGGCATGTCTGCATCTCAACGGCGGAAACTGGGCAAGAGCAAACTGAAGAGAGCCTCAAATGAACTTAAGAAGAAGATGTCGCAGTCGCTTCTGGTTGATATTTCAGCACCTGAAAGTGAAAATTCACCGGAAACCCAAAGGAACACCAAGGATGACGACTTAGTGAAGTAAGTAAAATTGAATATCAAGATCGCTACAGATCTGAGATCTTAAAGCAAGATAGTAGCCGTTTTCACGACGGCTATCTGAAACACATTTGGTTCATATTTGGTGCAGAGTTGGGGCGAATCTGGTCAAATTAGGTTTATTATAGTCGTTTTATGACGAGTAATCCGACGAATGCCCCAAACTTGACCAAATCTGCACCGTAACCCTTTTACAAGAAATGTCTTTTTATCATGAGTTTATTTCGGCATTTTAATCGAAAATAATATCTGATAACTTTAAAAAATCAGGCATTTAAGCAGCTTTGCAACCCAAACTCATAACTTCTAAGAAACGTAATGAACATAATAATCTCCACCAAATCTGCACCAAATGTGTACCAAATGTGTACCAGATAACCGTTGTGAAAACAGGTTATGTTTGTAGTTAAGCTAAGGTTGCACTAGTTGCTTATATACTTGAATTTTTAAATTATCGGACAATATTTTTTTAAGTAAAACACTGAAATAAGTTCACGATATAAAGATAGGTATGTGTTGTAAAAATGACTTGGTATAGATTAAGTGCAAAGTTGGTCAAGTTTGGTGTATTAACCAGATAACCCGTCGTGAAAACGGCTATTTATAGTGTGTTACATTTCAATGCTGTTAACCCGCACACGGACGTTGAGGCGAATACCTACATGTATTCGTATTAATAAGCTTTCCAGAGCATGCAAAGTAGAAGATATATTATCACTGAAAATAATGCTGCCGTCAGTGGCTATAACTGATATGTCTTGTATTTTCAATAAATGATCAAAGTCTAGGTCCATTCCGGTGTCACTTCCGGTGATTAGATGTTCCGTGGTTTATCACAAACTATCCAAGATCACTGCAGTTATCACCCAGATTCCCAGTGGACAAGCTTAATGTTGTACGATTAACAACAATTTTCCATCCTACTAGTAGATAACAGTTCAATTCATGACCTTTTCACATATGTTTTCATCCATATTTCCAGTGCAATGCCAATGCCTATGCACGATTTTTTAACATTTACATTTTGAATTTGTTGACACACCAGAACTGTTTTATAATTTTGCGTCTGATATCATGTGTTTTCTGGACATTATTACGATAGATTATAAGCAAATAGATGTTTCATGTGTTAATGAAGTTGCTTATATGGGGCCTCATTTTTCAGATATTCTGCACTCATGGAGAAGCTGAAAAAAGAGTTTCAATCAACAAAGAACTATCGGCGACGTCTCCAAATTCTCACATTATCACCCTTTGGGATCAATAGAACGGCAAAGATATTTGAAACAAGCAAGTATATGGTTAAGAAGAGCCGGAAATTGAGAGGTGAGAGAGGCTTACTCCCGGATCTACCTCCACTCAGCAAGGGAAAGCATGTCAGTGACGAACAGCGCCGTCTGGTAATTGATTTTTATGAGTCTGATGAGATAAGCAGGATTTGCCCGGGAGCAAAAGACTTTGTCGTTGTAAGAAATGAGGACGGTGTGAAGGAGAAAAGACAGAAGCGGTTGATTCTAGGAAATCTGAAGGAGATATATGCCGCATACAAGGATTCTATGAAGGAGCGAGCTTTGGGATTTTCCACTTTTGCGGCTCTGCGACCCAAACACTGCATTTTGCCCGGTGCAAGTGGAACGCACACGGTGTGCGTTTGCGTGCGCCACCAAAACGCCAAGCTTATGGTGGAGGCGTTGGGCGTGACAGGATTGCAGTATTATGACCTGCTAGACTTCGCTGTCTGTGACACTGATAACGAGGATTGCATGCTAGGAAAGTGCTCCAAATGTCCGGGAGCTGACGGCGTGCTTTCCTTCTTGGAGGTCCTTGAAGAAGAGTTCCAGGATGAAATAAACATGGAAGAAACCATTTCATACAAGCAATGGGTCAACACAGATCGCTGCAACCTGCTCGACCACATTGATCAGCGGGACGTGTTCATGATGAAGCTGAGCGACTGCATTGTTAGACTAGCAACCCACCACATGATATCCAAGTCTCAAAGTCGCTCTTTTAATGACATGAAGAACAATGTCCGTGAGGGAGAGGCGGTGGTGGTAGGGGACTTTTCAGAAAATTATTCGTTCGTGATACAAGACGCTGTTCAAGGATGGCACTGGGATACTCGCCAGGCGACTGTGCATCTATTTGTCGCTTACTTCAGGGAAGAAAATGAGGTCAGACATCAAAGCTTTTGTTTCATTTCTGACGGCCTGAAGCACAATGCCGCGATGGTATACAGCTTTTTGCAGGAGCTCGTCGTTGCGCTGAAGACGCGCATCCCCGGTTTGAGAAAAATTCAGTATTTTTCAGACGGATGTGCCGCGCAATACAAAAACCGATTCAACTTCGTGAACGTATGTCGCCATCAGCAAGACTTTCAAGTGGCGTGCGAATGGCACTTTTTTGGTACGTCTCATGGAAAGAACTCGTGTGACGGAATAGGTGGAACTGTGAAGAGGGCCACGGCACGCGAGAGTCTCACTCGCACACACCAGCAACAAATATTGACAGCCCGGGACATGTACGATTTCCTGTCACAAAAATTCGTCTCGGGCATTGAATTTGTGTTTGTCAGTAGTGAGACGGTAGCAAGCGTGTCAGAGTCGCTGACAGACCGATTTTCAAAGGCGGTGACTGTGAGGGGAACACTGGGACTTCACAAGTTCGTACCCGTAGATGAAGTCTCTCTCATGGCTTTTGAAATGTCGTCATCCCGCGTGGGCACATATGCACGGGTTAGCAGATAAAAGTTCATACGCCTGCATCAACTTCGAGTTGTGTCAGTTATTTGTATCATACAGAAATACATGGATCGTATCTCTTTTTGTGTTTGAAACGTGTACCTATTTCGTTTTACATATGAACATTTCTCCGGAGAGCAAACATCGTCATGGCGTTTCGGATAATCGCTTTTCTTGCAATGACGTGAGTTTCAGGCATGAATTAATGCGTATCTAGGTAACCTGACCTGACCCTAACTTGGAAAGTGGTCGCAAGTTTGTGTATACCACGTGCTAGCTTACCCACTTTTCATTTATTAACGTGATCAACTGATCAGTGATCACCTGCACAAAAAACCGTATTGGACAATAGTGAAAGCTTCGTCACAATAATTCTACGTCATTGTGACGTCATCATGTCTGGTGGTTGTAAATTTATGGCGTAGCTGCCTTAAAGGCGTTTTGAAAGATGCACATCACATTTGCAGATAGCTGTGGCTTGCATTTAGCCGAACTTCATTCAAATCGGATGAGAGATATTGCTATTTTTTTCACTGTACGATATATTTCAAAGCGCTATAATGGTCTTTTTCGAAAAAACATGTGTTCAATATTTTCACAAGTGAAATTGAATGCAGGAAGGTAACTTTTGCTTCCAAAAAAACTTTCAAAAAAAGGTGGCCACACTTTCAAAATTTGAATTTTAGAAATAATTTTGAATTTTAAAAAGTTAGAAATTATATTTTCCAAAAATAAATGGAACCACCACAACCTTCAGTTTATTGTGATTTCGAAGACATGCAATTTTATATAGTTTGAACAAGAAATCAACGAAACATTGGTTGATGAATATTAAAGTTTTTGAGGCCGTCTTTTACTTGTTTGGGGCTGTATCTCCAAAAGTATTAGTCGGACAAGGCTGAAAATGTCACAGCACGAATCGCCGCCCAAGATAACCCCTTAGACAAAGTTAAATCAAAATCTGAGAGGTAGGGTGTTATTTCGAGATTTTTTTGGTCGATCTGTCGTGGAATGCCCCACCTGGTCACTGGTCAGGTATAAACAGGCTGAGACGTTGTTAGGTCAGCCATATCGTGAGCATGATGCCAATGGGAAATACTGGGTGGAGACAGCAGCCAGATGAGGTGAGTAATGCTGGCCAAACTGGAGCTAACACCGCAAATGCCCACACAGAATTCACTGGTTCGTGATTTTGCGCCGAGTAAAGTAACGACACAACGACTGACAGCAAAGTCAGTTATCACAGTCACACAGTGAACAGTTACTGGTTCACAGTCACGACTCTGCTATTAAACAGTTGAAAAGTCCAAGCTGGACTCAGGCCTCCGACACATTTGCGCAACCGACCAGTAGCAAAACAATAAACATCTTTAATGTGAGCACCACCCCCCAGTCTCCAGTCACCAGATATCAGAACTAGAAAGGACGGATTCCAGCAAAGTACTGCAGACACGAGAGGTGGGGGCTAGTAAATGAAATACGTATGAATGCAATAATCGTTGCGACTATTGGATCAGACATACCAGAGTCGCTGTAGTGTCGCTCAGCGACTGTACTTGTAGCGGCGGCCACCGTCAGCTCACGCCAACACGGGCCCTTCCAACAGCCTCCTCCACCCAGTCTCCCCACGACACCACGCGGGCAACACGCGGGCGACCACTGAAGGCCGGCCGACAGCCCTCACCAGCCGGGCCGGCGAGCGGGGCGGAGCGACAGGCGGCACAACAAGGCCACAGCAGCGCCCCTAGCGGGCACCGGCCGAACCGCGGGAATCCGAGCCAAGCGGGAGGGAAAAGTGAACCTACCTGAGGCAAGGGTTAACGCCTGACGGGGCAGTGTCCCGTGACCGAGAATGATCAGTGAGGGCAGCTCCTCCCGTCCTCTGCTGAATGAGAAGCCATTGTCGTGCGGCATCCTTTACATATACCTACATAGGTATATCCTTTTGTCTCCGCGTCCTTTGTCCTTACTCAACACCTGTCACCTACAATTTCGTGTGGTCTGACTACTGGATCAATATCAGAGTCGGGTCAAGCCAGCCCCCCTCACAAAAGGGGTCGCGTGCCAATAGCGTTGCAGCCCCTGTTGTCTCTCATTCAATCATTGCTTTCCGCTTTGCGGCTAACGCCCAAGAGGTCCCCCGTATCTAAACTTGTGTTCGCTTTGTTCAATACCCCTCCGTTCCGTCGCTTCCATCCTCAGGATACTGAAATCCTCCTCCTCCACGCCGCAACCACCACTCCGGGCTGGACAGGCACCTTTATCTCATGCGGGTTGCTCCCTTGGAGCGGCACCGCTATTCCCGAGTGAGCGCACCCCGTAGCCGGGTGCAGGGAGTGCTTTGGGGGGGGGGGGGGAGCTGGTCGGTCTGTTCTGTCCATTCGGACGGGCTCAGCCCCGGCGACTCTCTATAGGGTGTCTGCCCAGACCATTATGTCTCCCCCTAAATCCTATCATCCTTCCGGCTCTGAAATGGTCTTGTCAGACCGAAAGGACGCCCTAACCCAACAAAACAAAATTGTTCAATACATTTTGTTCCCGAGCCTCACGCTTTTACCGGGAAAACCGGGCTAACGACAGGCCCGGAGCTGACGACGTGGATCGAAAACATGTTTTATTGTTCAGTGAACATAATGCGGGCATCGCCCATCAGAGGTGAGTCAACCGCGCCCCCTGACCCGCACACCAACATGACTGTACCTACACTCGCAATAGACCCGAATCGCAGTGACCCGACTCAGAAAGGAGTTCTAGCCCTCACCTTCAGTCGACCCAGCCCACCTCTACCCCGTGGGACTTGCCTGATGTGCCGCCGGCACGGATGATCCGTCTACTGTTGGAGACCGTGGTCCGCTTCCTCTCCCAGTCCGGGTCCGTGGGTCGCCTCCTCTCCCACTCCGGGTCTCCGCGGGGTATCCGGACCGTGCTCTGTCTCCGGCTCCGGCTGCCGGTCCTCAGTCGGACTCTGCTGACGGGGAGTGCTCGAGGCCGACACCGCCGCGTCGTCACGGGGCGAGCTGTAAACAAGACAGGCAAAGACATGTTTGTCGTCGGCGGGATTAAATAATTCACAATCAAATATATTTGCAAACCGTCTATGTGATATAAATATCTTATCTATGAAAATGACCTTGTTTCGAAAGCCCTGTCAAAAACCATTCTTTCGCATGATTCACAACAAAGGCAAGAACAATTAAACAATTACTCTGAGAATCCAAAATGAGCTAAGTCAAATAATCAACTCTCACAGTAGCACATAGGTCAAAACGCAGTGCACACAAGACAGCGCACGGCTACTCACATTGGCGAGTCCGTTCCGGCGAGGAAGGAGGCGGACACGGCGACGCTGTAGCCCGCCGGTAGAGAGTAGTCGTCCGCCGGCTGTTGGCCAGCCGCAATCGGCGACAGCTCTCCGTCCCCCAGCTCACTGGGCGGCGGCGTCGGGCAGCCCTCCTCCTGCGCCGAGTCGAACTCACTATCCGCAGTCTCGTCCGGCTCGCCGTCGGCGGACAGCATGCCGTCCGAGTCGGCGCCGTCGCCGCCGCTCGTCCACGGCTCGCCGGTCGTGGAGGTGTCCGAAACCAGTAGCGAGGGCTCGCGCGAGGCGGCCAGCGGCGCGCTCGAGTCGCCGCCCAGATAGGCGCGGTTCAGACGGTCGCCCGAGATGCTACCCAGCGTCGAGTCGCCGCATGTCACAGAGTGGCGCTCGTAAGAGAAGCTGAGCGTTGCAGAGGTGTGAGTGTGTGAGGTAGGTGTTGATACGTCGTGTTTTAGGTGGAACTCTACTGTACAACTGTCGTTTTGTGACGATGGTTGGTATCCGCTTTCGTCTGCTTGGTCTTGTGACTGTGCTATTCCCCGAGCAGACCTGTCCTGCCCTAGTCCGTCAGAGCTCTCTGTTGCATCTGACCGATGGCTGCTACCTTTGCGATCCCGTAGGATCTGTTCAACTGTCAGCGCGTGCAGAGTGTCAGACAGCATCTCAAAGTCGGTAACCAGCGGCTGTGAGCCCGATATATCTGCTCTCGCACCAAGATCTACGTCCTCTACTGAAGCTGTTGAGTCCGCTGAAGCTGTCGTCTCTGGTTGATCGCCACCAAAGGAGCACTTCCCTCCAACACCCAGCGGGCTTCCGTCGCCGACGGAGGACATGAACGGGTCCCCTGTGAGCGGTCGACGACCGCTGCCGGGCTCCTCTCCACTATCACTGACGACAGAGAGACTCAGTGTGGCCAGGTCACCATCACCGCGGTCAGGAGAGAGACACGCCGTGGACAAACTGCTCGTCTCTCTCGGAGACGGCTCCAGAAGACCAGCCTCGGCCAGACTGAGCGACTCACACGAGGCGAGCGATGGGTCCCGACTGTCCCCACATACGCAAGTAGTCGACGTGTTATCCTCGTCGCCATCGTTTCGCTGCATGAACACCTCTTCGGTAGACATCGAGAGGCACACCACTTTCTCGGCTGGTCGATGTCCGTCATCGTCATCGACACCGAACAGCTGGATACCCATCTGACGCAGCGTCGGCTCCGGCAGCTTGACATCAACGTCGGCGGCGGCAGACATGGAGGAGAGGTCATCAGTGACCTGGCGTCGGATGGTGGCGGCCGAGAGGGGCCGGCAGTCCGTCTGAAGCGAGTCGCCCCGAGCAGAGTCCGGGGTATCATCTACATCCTCGCTGTCATCGTGCAGCGCCTTCTCCAGTTTGAGTTTCATGCTCTCGACGCGACGATCCATAGCTAATTCTGCGTTGCCGAACGGATAACCTCCCAGGTTATCGTGCTGGGAGCTTTGCAGCGCTGTTGCATGAGTGTTGCTTTCGCCCTTCCTTACAAAGGGCAGCCAGCTGTCATCACGAATCACAGAGTCGTTTTCCCCTGTTTCACTCTGACTACACTGTGAAGAAAAGTGCTCGCTAATAGTTGATGTGGCCAACGTGTTCTGCTCCTCTCCAGCCATCGGATCTTGGTCGTCGGCAAGAGTGATATCAGCCTCGTCGTCATCATAATACTCACCAGACGACTCAGAAGAATCATCGTCACTGGCGGATTCCGCTTTTGAAACATCTTGAGGCACGTCGTGACTCATGGTGTCTGCTGCGACAGTGTTCACGTCCTGATTGGTGGAATCCTTTGTGTCCGCAATGTTTTCCTCTACTGGATGAATCGGTTTCTCTCTTGTTGACTCGTTCTTGGCGGGAAGTTCAGAATGTGCAGGGTATCTGGCAGGCTCCGGATGGGCGGGACCCTCAGGAGCAAGGTGCTCCTGATCAGCGTGCATCAGATATGTCGGGGTGAAGAAACTGTGGTCGGCTCCTTCCGTCTGGGCCTCAGGCGCAGTGTCTTCCTGGGGTGGAGTGATGACTATTTGTGGTATTGTAAACTTACCGCCTCGATGGATAACTTCAGCCTCGTCATCTTCCATATCTTTGGCAGAAGTCGGATCATTCTTAGCACTGTTCACTGTGTCGTTTTCGGTTCTCGCTATACTTTGTAGTGAGGGAGCACCATCGAATGCGTATATTTTACCACCCGAGACGGATACGTCGGCAAGCCTTAGTTCATTTTCGTCACTCTCCTTTTTGATTTCTGATATCTCGACTATTTTAGATCGGTGAGGACAAGATTCGCCTTCTTCTTCAGTCTCTGTGATTTCTACCTCGTCACCTTCCCTCACAACGCGGTGTTGCACGTCCTTATGACTGGTCTGAATTGCTTCCATAAGGTGAGTTTCGCCATCTGTTGTTTTCTCCACTAGAGAAATAAGGGGCGTTTCCATGTTCGTCTCTTCCAATCCCAAATCATCTGCCGAGAGAACTGCCCATCTGCGACGTGACTCTGCGCACGATGAGAAGATTGACCTTGTTTGGCGGTTTTCAACGTCAATCGCTGGCTGGTCTAATGCCGTGGGATCTGTAGCCTTCAAGTGAGTCAAATCAACAATTTCTTGCTCGGGAATTTTCACAGCATCGACCGAAACGCCTTTCTTGGACTCTACAGACTTATCGGTAGACTCGGTCGAACGCTCTTCGGCTGCGTCATCGTCCGACTCAAGTGGAGGCATGTCATCGTAAACAGACTCCTTTTCTCGTTCAGCCATCGCATCATCTGTCTGTTTCTGAAGGTCTTGGCCTGCCTCCTGTGCCATTTCAGCTTCTTCTTTGGCGAGATGAGTTGCAGCCTTCTTTGCAGCCTTCTCTTTTGCGTCATCGTCTGCATAAAGTCGTATGCGCGTCTTCAGCGACGCTATAGCGTTCACGCTGTCCTCGATCCGCTTACGTTCTCTCTCGTTCCAGCGGTCACGCTCAGCGCGCTCCTCCTCGCGACCTCCACGAGCCCACGCTTCGGCACAGGCGCGATCCTTGTCGAACACGGGCCGCTCATCCAGGTAAGACAGCTTCTTGATGCCGACGGTCATGATCCTGCGATAATCTTTGATGGTTCTCAGGCCTGGGTTACCGACCAGATACAGAACCCGCAGCTCCTTCATGCTTTTGAATATCTCAATCAAATTCTCTTCGTACAGACGGTTGTGCGACAAATCGACGACGGACAGGGAAGGACAGTCCACGAGATGGCGGATCGAGTCCGTTTCCTCCAGCCTGTTGTGCGTGATCTGCAGGTTCGTCAGCTTCGGCAGGCAGCTGAGACCACTGATGTGCGTGATGGCATTGTGACTGAGGTTGATCGTGTCCAAATTCACCAGAGCATCAAGGTTCTCAATCGTCTTGATCAGGTTGTGATGTAGAAAGAGAGATCTCAGCTCCACACAGTGCTCAAGATTTTCAATTTTACTTATCCCGTTGTTTTCCAACCAAAGACAGCGCAGACCTGTGTACTCTTCAAGGTTCTCGATTTTGACGAAGCCCTTGAAATGAAGATAGAGTACGTCATTAAGATATGGCGTGCTGTACAACTTCATTTCTCGGCATAGCTTCTTCAGGTATTCCCTAGTCATCCGCGGCCACTTGAACTTGTCCTTCGTCGATAACGGCAGAAGCTGATCAGCCTCGACATCGTCGTTGTGGTCACTTGCAGTCTCAGCCTCATTGGAGAGGTCATTTCCCTTCAAAGGTGAATCATTTTGCTCTTGGTCGTCAACCTTTTCAACCAAATCATCCACCTCTTTTAATTGGCCTGAGCCGAGCAAAGTATTAGTTTCAACCGATGAAAGCGGTTCTACAGGCAACGGCTCTGGCATTTTTGCAGCGCACAAGGTTCGCCTGCTCCTTTTGTCACCAGGCTTTGCTACATGACATTGTTGCAGGCGTCCAAAGATTCTGAAAAAACGTGTGAGAGTCATGCTTACTTCGTTTGCGTGCCAACGGCGGTGCGGTAAATACGAACTATCACGCAACACTATATGGAACATATTCAAGACTTCGCCATCCTATTCCTTCCCCGAATTCAGTATTTATAGATTATTTGGAACAAGTGCAACCGAGGTTGAAAACGTATATACGTCAAACAAAATTTGAACTCCAAGCCGACGGGACGGGGGCGGGGACCGGGAGTGGTAATTCTGGTAAAGTTTTGCATTAGCCCTTTCATTAGTTTTTAAAATGTGTTTGCCTTTCATAAGTCATTCGAGGCTTTTTGTGAGAGGAACAAAATGATGGTATACCTATTAGGTAACATAGCCTTTTCATAGGTACAATCGCAGCCTACTGGTTGAAAAAAGAAAAATCCGTTGACTGCCGTTTTTTTTTGTTGTTGTTGCTTATTAATTGATCATTATTATTAATACTAATATTTGCTATGAGGTCAAATATGCCCATATGGTCGAAACCTTGTCGACGACGTTCAACGAGCTAAATCAAATGGGGTTTCCTATGCGACGCCTCGATTTCGATCGTCGAGGAGTTGCCTGGATTTCGAGCGCCAGTTCAGCAAAAAATGTTAGCAATGGCCTTCAATGACTCTCTGGTGAGTGTGGTGACGTTGCCCGCCGGCGAGACAGCAGTGCCCAGGAGGCGAGCAAGGCGGGGGTGTTCAGGTATCCCTTCTGACTGAAATCCAGAGGTCCCTCAGATAGGAACCTCAGCAAGACGAGGGTCGACATCGAGCACATACCCAGTAGCCACCTACCATTCGTTGCTGGCAATGCGTTAGCTTTTCGCTTTTTTTTTTGCTAAAAAAAAAGAAGTGAGTCGGCGACCGACAGTCGTACCCAGCCAGCAATCTGGTTTGCCTCAAGCCCGTTTCGCCCCGGCAACTCAGACATGCCAGAGTTGGGCCGAGCCCGAGCTAAACGGAACGCCGTCAGAGCCGGGGTTGGGGCAATGTCCCAAAATTTGTCGATTTGGGTTGGAAACGACATCCAAATGAAATTCATTTTCCACTCTCATCACCAATTTTTAAGAACAATTTTACACTCCCAACCAAGAAAACCTAGATTTTTTACCTATAGAAAGAGCAGTTGTGTGGATGCCCGGTTTAGCATCAAGCATCGGCCACACCTTAGAATAAAATGCATGTTTTTTGCCGTTTTTCACTCTTTTTGGATCTAATCGAATCAGCAGTTTTTCACTCTCTCCCCTCTTTTTGGTGGGTAATTCTCCCCTCTGACACCCTAGACAAAACTCAATTTTGGGACACTGGGTTGGGGCGGCACTAGCCTCTATTCCGGCTAGCCAGCTTTTGCCGTACGCGCTCCCGAATTGGTATGCCGTTTCGGACCGCCAGATCCGGCTCAAGTCCGGCTCCCTACGGCCAAGTCCGGCTGCCTCGTAGGCCGTAGCTGCTCTGGCTTACTGTGGCTGAAGCACGGTTGAGGTACGACACGGCTGATACGGCTTATGTCCGGCTGTGGTGCGGGCGAGCTCCAGGATCGTGTGTCAGCTCCAGTAGAGCCTCAGAATTCCCGTGCATAAACGGTTTTAACGCACGACGTGGATGGATTGAAGCACGAGTGCGTTAATGCACGAGTGAAACGAGTGGTGGTGCTAACTTGCTATTGGTGCCCTCCTTGCAGAATTCAAGGGGGGCACGGTGCCCCGGTACCCGTTCCGCCGCCTATGCCTCAGACCTTGGCCGTACCTCCGACCTCGGCCGGAGTAAGATGCCGGAGCTAGCCAAGGAAAACCAACGGCCCAGACATTTTTTTGCTGGCTGGGAAGTATGTATGGCCAGGATTACTAGGTAGCATTGAATGACGCGAAGGGCCACGTACCGACCGACCTCTATTCCCCTGACCTGGCCTCAATCCTCACCCGTATTGGCCTTTTGGTACAGCATCTCACGCATCTCACGTACTTACCTATGCAGCGCATCAGCGTCAGCCCCCCTCCCCCCCCCCCCCCACACACACACTGTTCGGCCCTTGACAGGGCTATATGTATATAGTTTCGTGGGATTGAGAAATGCAAGTGTAGCCCGTAACAATTATATCTATTTTCAGGCCCTAGGTTCAAGGTTGTAGGTTGACCTTCCAGGTCAATATTTAGGTCACTGACGCGAATGCCCCTTGTTGGTGAGTGGTGACTTGCATCCAATTCAAATTGCGATGAGCGGGCAAGGGACCGTCCGATGAGCGCAAAAATGTACACCCCTAAACATACATCTGCAATACCGAATACGGAAACAATTTTTTTGGGGGTGGGTGGGGAATATCCCAGGTCCAGATCCATTCCCCACGACCCCTCTCTAGCCTCAAGCAGAGCAGGGGGGCCCCATGAATGGGCGGCTATAAATAACGATATTCCGCCGCCACCTCACGCACATTCCTATAGGCAAATAGTTTATATCTAATTAAACGTAAAAATCGGCACAAAAAAAACGGTCACCTTGCACACTAAGTAACACTCAAACTCAACATTCGGCATCTGCAACGTTTACAACCCAACAAACTGCAGCACAGCAAAGCAAAATAATTGTTCCTGGCCAGTTTCCATAGCAACCAATAGCAATCTATTGTAAAACTTGTTTTAGAATAAATATTTGTGGAAATAAATAAATACTCAAAGTTTATGGTTGAATCACGAATTAATATCTTTTAGTTTTCATTAAAAAGATCTATGAATATATTTATAAATATCTTTGAAGATAATTTTGCTACGTTACATGCGCAGTGGTGACAAAAAGAAAGCTGAAAAAATATTTGTTGTATTCAATCATTTGAGGTGTTTATGCTCTTATTTGTATTCTTAAACCCATTCACTGTCAACCTAGGAGGAAAAGAAAAGCCAAGGACCATTGACATTTGACCTATAGAACTGGTCAATGCCAAGGACTCTCTACAACAGGACGTTATAAAAGGTAACAGGTAATCTGAATCCATCATCAGCTATGGGATAGATAGGTTTTAAAAGAAAGTGTCCATTGTAGCAACAGTGTAACTATATATTAGGTTATGTCAGGGTATACCATTAGGCTAAGTTTTTATTTATTCTGGTTGAAAACAGCCATGCAAAGATTTGTTCGGATAGTGGCAGAAATTGACATTGTCCTGGATTCGGGTTTGTGTTTGATCCTGTGTGGACTGTGGCATAGCTCTGTGCTGCATGTCATACCCCCAGGCCAGACTGTAACCCCATGTCATACCCCCAGGCCAGACTCCGCTAGCGTGATTCAGGCATGCAGTTACAAATCTCAGGTGTGCAAGGCACAGTGCAGGCTTACAAATAAAGTCAAATTAAGTTGTGCCTTAAAATAAAGCCTTAATACATAGGCATGCAAATTAAGGTCATCAGTTTAATTTTTAGTTTTAAATCAAAGAAGAGTGATGTTTGAACTAATTCATTTTGTAATTAACTTTGGAACCTTTCATAATCAAACTCCGGTATTAGTAGAGCAGACGTCACACAAAGGTTTTCCAACCAAGGAGAGGCGCTATGCCTGGAGGTACTTCTTTCTAACAAAACCTAAACAAACCTAACCTAATCTGACCTAACCTAACCTACAACCTACAACCTACAAACCTACAACCTAAAAACCTACAACCTACAACATACAACCTACAAACCTACCCTACAACCTACAAACCTACCCTACAACCTACAAACCTACAGCGCCTCTCCTTGGTTGGGAAACCTTCGTGTGATGTCTGCTCTACCAATGCCCAAACTCCTGCAGAGATTGTCTATGCTTGTACTGGGCATGTAAGTGTTAACCTACTAGCCAGCCAGTTGCATGATGCATCCCTACTACTAGCCAGGCATGCACTCCCATAAAACTGGACACACCTCGGGTGTGTACCTACACTGCAAATGCCATGTTTTGCAGTCTGTCCCCTAGGTGACAGCAGCCACTTCTTTTCAGACTTTTCTTTTCAGATTTGCTATTTGCAGGGAATGCATTTTCTGATTGCCCTCTATTCCTCTTATTAACCAGATTATCATATGTACAATAATATTGTGTTCAGTAGAACTAGATAGTGTCAACATTTTTGTGCAGTCTTAGTCAAGCTCCTTCTTTGAACAAAAGCTTGTTCCAAACAATCAGCAGCAAGGTATGCATTGATGCCCAAATATGGTCATAAAGAATTATTTTTTGGTGCCTCCATTTTTTATTATTGTTCCAGAAGCCTAGTTTGCCCAACTGGCTTTGTGCAGAATATTATGTCTAAGTTGAATGTGTGGCACTTCTGGATTGTTGATTTGTTTCAAAGAATGTGCATAATGTGATAGGGTATAAATAGGTATGGTATGACAATTAGTAGCATGCCACTGAGAGTAATCATAAAAGTACAGCTAAATCCAGTCCTCTCCAATAATGGAAGATGATGCTAGCTGTGTTTTCCACTGTTGTCTTCTCCAGAACCAATATAAAGTAGCAGTGGATACATTGAATAGAGTATCACTATCATGTCTTTTGAAATGCACCTCTGCGGCTGGATTAACTTGTGTAGAAATTGCTGTGCATGTATGCTTCAGTATGCCTCGCTTAGGCTCCTCTCGATCGCGATCGCGACGAAATTTTCAGTACTCTTGCGTTAATCAAGTTTACACCTACCCTGAAAATTGTATAACCCTGACCCAAATGACCTTTGACCTGTGACCTACTTTTCGAGACCATGTTTGTCCGGAATCGCGATTCGGCGTATGTCGGCTCGCATTAGCAGCGCGTTTGCAGTCTTTTCGTGGTTTAAAGCGTTCAAACATTTGATATGATGTCGCCCCCATGCATTAGGGTGGGTGTCAAGGTCACCTGAAGGTCAGGTCAGGTCTTTGACCTTAATTGACCTCGGTTCACTTTTTCGAGTTTTACATGTTTCTAGACCAGTTTTTCGAGCTGAATTCGAATTTAGCAACCATATGAACGCTTACGAAGTAGTTTTGGTGCCTTTGTAACATGTTACGAAGCTGTCAGAGGCGGTTGACACTTACTACGAATACCCGGCAGGACCCCTACTGGTTGGCCTGACCTGACCTGGCCTAAATGAATGAATACATCATCTGCGATCAAAACTAGCATGCTATTCGTGATTAGCACCCCGAAAAACTCCATAGCAGTCACACTTAACGACGTTCTAACAGGTCCCGATTTTCCGGACTTTTGGGTCATTGACCTGGCTTTAAAGGTCAACCAATGACCTAGGACCTTAAAATTGGGTATCATCGGCTTCCTCTCGTCACGGGCAACACGCTCGTTTTTTTCCGCGAAGCTCTAGCTCGATCAGGGGCCAAATGGCAAGGGGGGTCTAACTGAGTAGTAAAGTAATCTTGGTCCAACGGACCGCCCCCCCCCCCTTATACGTTCGCGGCTGGAAAAAAAACACCAATACGGGCGAGGGTTAATATAGGTAGGTTAGGAAGGTAATAAAAAATGCTGATAAAAACGGCGATCGAACAGCGTTCAGGTTTTTACTATGGTAAAAGATGCACGCCACGAAACTTTGTGCAGCTTAGGTATCATACATCAATTTTGCATCGTTTATTCAATTTGACAATTCGACCCAAGTTCACTCATGGCCACGTCACCAGGTCAAGCTAAGTAAAAAAAAAATGTGATCACTTTATTTCTACTACTTATCTTCTAGATCTTCGAAAATCAGTGAAGTTCATAAGGATGTCAATGCCAACAAATGGTTTATCTCGTTTTTTTTATCTGTGACCTAGGTTCAGGTCAGATGTGTGACCTCACTTTAATAAGGCAATGGGAAAAGTACAGATGCTTCCTGCTTTGAACAAACAGGTCAAAACCACAAGGTATTTACAGAAACATGATCATACCACCAATATGCGTTTGGAAGGGCGCACCTGATTGTCAACGGTCACTCGAAAAGTCATAAAAGGTCGCAAGCAGTTTTTCGGCAATAACTTGATAGAGGCGTAGTACGGCCATGGAATCATCTGGAATGAGTTCAGGTCATCAATGCTGATCGATGGATATGCATAATGACCTTTTCCGGTCAGGTTATGACCTTGACCTGAGGTCAGATTTTGAAGTTGATTTTTTTTGTCAACTTATGGTTCGTTTGATGCGTCTTGACAATATGAACATGATGATGACAAAATAAATGTGATTCAATATTTGACGCCAGTTATTGCTAAAATTGTTGGAAAAACTGTTTCGTCCGAATCCGTCTATTTTTTTTTTTTTGTATTTGCCCTCTGTGGTCCAAATCGTTGACCTGAGGCCTCTTGCACCAAACTACCTAGCCAGGTAAAATCGAAAAACCGGTTCCAGAATAAGCTTATCTAACGGTGGTAAATTTGCTTGCAATAGCCCAATAAATACATAATCCTACAGGTGCTTGCTAAATTTTGCACGCAAATTGTTACATTTGAGACCTGGACTGGGTATACGATGCAAAATAGTCCAAGCATTGGTGCAAGAGAATTTTGGTGCAAGAGGCCTCTGATGTCAAATCTGAAAAGATTTCAACGAAAGGTTTTTGAAAGAGCTATCGAATGCGCCTCCACGAGGCTCTTTAACTCTTTTGTGTCACGAGTTTTACGCCGATTTGTGCAAAAAGTCACAATCGGGATTTTTGTTGACATTTTTATCTTTGGTGACCTTCAATGACCTCAGCGATAACCAGGCATCATTCGGTGTAGGTATATATTTTAGCGATGATCATATATCAATTCAATATCATTTGAGAGGTTCTGATGAAGCACAGTCAACCCATATTCCCTAATACATGTGCAAAATGTGAGTCATTTATTTGAGCTCTGAATAAGTAAAGCCGAAATAAATTCCTGGCTCCTGCGGTTCATTTTGTTCTACTTAATTCATTCACGCATCCAATGTATGCCTACGATGTGCAATATGCCGCGAGTACCTATATGTTTTATGCCTGAAACAGACTCTTTCCGCAGTCAGGAAATCGCATGCGAGAGCCTATTCAAATACATGGAAGCACGCTCGCATCAATCGCACGCACCTCCCGGATGCGATTAATGCGGGAAATATTATAATGTATTTGAATAGGCTCTCGCATGCGATTTCCTGAACGCCGAAAGAGTCTGTTTCAGCCTTTACCCACTGAAATCGTTACTTTATTTGCTTTTTTATGTTTTGCAAAGCTGCCCCAATTTAGGAATTTGTTTAGCAGCATACAAATATTGTAGGTAAATAAACGATTATGTACACTGCTCAACAACTAAGGTCCAAGGTAGGCTCAAAATGGTTCAAAATACCTGCCTACAAACATCGTTATGACGTTTCCTCTGCCCGGAGTATCATTGTACAGCGCCACACGTTTTTGTTGTCCCAACGATTTGGGAAATTTTTACCGAGACATTTCGCTTTTAAATTATGAGCCAAAATCTCTAGTTGAACCTTCATTTTGTAATGTTTATGTTTGTTATTAAATTCTAGTTAACGGCGAAATTATCCTGTAAACTTTGCAGTACGCCGGTCAGTTCCCGTCAAACCGTTCAGGCCAAATTCATAGTATCAGTTTAGCGCGGCAACTTCAGTGTCTTTGGCTTCGGTCACATGCGTCGCGTTTGAGTCAGTTGAGCCGCCCACTTTTGCTGCTTCCTGTGGTTGCCCGTCCCGCACTCGGGGCATGGGACAGGCGGTGTCCTGTCCGGCCGTGGTGCCGGTGCCGCCGGAGCCACTCCGGCCCAACATAATCGGCTCCTGGGCGTACGACACGGTCGGCACCCGGATGGTGAGGATTCTCTGCGTGGTGATTGCCACGTTCGCCGCCGACCAGGAGAGCCTGGCCAAGGAGGTGGGCGCGTTCGGCCGCGAGTCGATGGAGATGATCCAGTCGGATCTGGAGGCGCTGCTGGAGTCTCTCACCTCGAACGGTTTTCTGACGCGGCTGACGGGCGAGGCGGAGGACGTGCCGTCGTGGAACGCCGTGCTGGACTCCGCCTGCGTGGACGGCGTGCTGCCGCGCTGGCACGACGGAGACTGGCTCTACGTCGAGTGCTTTATGTACCGCAAGCTGTACGACATCCTTGACTCGAGCGGTGTCATCAGGGATTATGACTACTTCCACCCGGCGAAGAAGGAGAGTTTCGAGCAGTCGGTGGCGGTCGCGCGTGACCTGGCCGCCTCGCTGCTCGAGACAGTGTCCGGCGTGGCCAAGCTGTCCAAGTCGCAGCTCCGCGTGCCCTTCATGGAGTTCCTTTTGATCAGCCTTTGGGGCAACAAATGCGACCTCACGATGGGCGGCATGTCGATGAAAACGTCACCCCTGGCGCAGCTTTCCGAGCTGGCTAAGTACTTGCTGTCGGACCGCCACAAGGACATATTCGCGTATCTGCACAAACTGCAGCAGAGCGGCAAAGTGACACGCATCGACTTTATCTGCGACAACGCCGGCTTCGAGCTGTTCTCCGACCTGTGCTTGGCCGACTTTCTAAGCGCCTCCGGCCTGGCGCAGCGGATCACATTCCACGTGAAGGCGTTCCCGTGGTTCGTCTCGGATACCACGCGCTGTGACGTCTCGTGGCTGCTTGAGCGGCTGAAGGGTGACGCCGAGAGCGGGCCGCTGCAGGAGCTGGCCGCCCGCTGGAGGAAGCAGCTCTCCACCGGCCACTGGGAGATGGCCGAGTCGCCCTTCTGGCAGTCGCCCTTCCCGTTCCGTATGATGCGCCAGGAGTGTCCGCCGCTGTACTGGCGCCTCCAGGGAGCTGACCTGCTGCTCAGCAAGGGCGACCTCAACTACCGGAAGCTGATTGGAAACCGTCCTTGGCCGGTGAACACCCCCCTCTGCCGTGCCGCCGAGGGGTTCAGCCCGGCGCCGCTGGCTGCGCTGCGCGTCCTCAAGGCCGACTGCGTGGCCGGCATCGACATCAAACGGGCCAAACAGGCGGCCGAGCTCGACCCCAAATGGATGACCTCGGGCAGCTTTGCGGTGATTCAGTTCTGCCGGCACGCCACGGTGCTGGACAAGATTTGACGCTCATAATGTGATGGGAATGTGCTGAACACAATTTCTGAAGACGCCTGAAGCTGAGGTCGCGGTAGAAAGTGGCTAAAGCTGACAGCTCTGACAGGCTGTGCTGGGAAATGGAAAGAAGCGTTGAGTTTGCTTGATCATTCTGTCGAACTACGAGCTAAATTCGTACGCTTATTGAGCTGGTCGTTCAGTGCAGGTCGTGGTTTTCTATAGATCATTTATAGATCATCGGTCAGGTTTGCTCCTTTTTGTCGTTCGATTTATGCGGACATTACACTGGTTGTGTTTAGTTTGGTTTATTGGTTGATAATCTTACTGAGTTGATAGAAGCGCGGATTTTGATTCTAAATTTCCTGGTAGTGTATGATCCAATCTCATTAACCTGCTCAACTAATGTGTGCTGAAATAAACACATTTAATGTTATTTACCCGACCGTTAGTATCTGTCTTTGGTTTGACATGGCGTGATGCCGCAAGAACGGCAAACATCTGCGCACAAATCACGGCTCGCTGAGCAGATTTGTCCCTACTCCCGACTACCCCATGTGTATTGTGTTGACCTCAAAGATAAAACACGCACTGTGTCTCATCTCATCTCATCTATCCCCCCATTTCGCTGGTCATTAACCATGCCCTCCTCTCCTCCCACAGGTGTCTCATTCAGCACAGTATGCTAGCTCGTTCTGCGGTGTCACTTCTGCGGTCGGCTAGTTCGGCCGCCTGCCGCCACGCGGCGCCACTGAGCACCTCGGCGCCGCGGTGTGAGATTCGTAAGCTGGCCCGTCTGCGGGTGGTGGACAACAGTCAGATCGGGAAGGAGGCGATGGCTGAGGGCCGACCGCCGCGCGTCATCCACGTCTACAACAAACGAGCCGTGGCCACCGTCGGTGAGTCGGGGGAGGGATGAGGGGTAGGGGGCCAGGGTGATGTCTAGGGGAGGGGATGGTTGAGGTACCGCTAGAGGGTGGTGAGTTGGGTTACTGCCGTGGAATGGCTGTTTGGAGCTCTGCCGAGGGATGACTGGTGATTGCGATGAAATATGTTGTAGCATCTGCTAGATATTATTGTCCGTGAGCTTTTCCCATCAATCTTTCTCGTCTCCTCGTTTTCACAGTCTCCCGCTTAGGTTTGTATTCATACTTTTCCTTCCATCCCCATCCGTACCCTTCAGTCCCGGTCCCAAATTCCAGCTCCACCTTTCACCTTTCTGACTCTCCCGTCCGTCCCACAGGTGACAAGGTCCTGATGGCGATCCGCGGTCAGAAGCGGAAGGGGCTCCTGGTGGGCTGCGTCAAGACCCAGCACCCCATGTCGATGATACCCAAGTTCGACACCAATAATGTGGTACTCATTGACGACGCCGGCACTCCGCTGGGCACGAGGATCCACGTGCCCATTCCGAATGTGATTCGGGAGAGGTTGCAGCGAATGAGTCACAAGAAGTCGGGAGATTTCACCAAGATCCTCTCGCTTGCGACACGGTTTGTCTAGCGGTGCTGGGAAGGGTAGGAACGGGGTGGGATGGGGAGTGGAAGTGAGTGACTGAGTGGAGGAGTTGGGTAGAGCAGTGGTGTCGATGAGTTTATTACATGTAATACAGTGACTTTATGTAGCTCCTCGTGTCTGGCGGGAGAATTCACGTCATTTTGGGAGAGACTGAAGCTTTTATTATTGGTGCAGTGTGCACAAGCTGGAATTCGTTTACATTATCCGTAACTGCAAAACAAGACTCGATCACTGAATTTCTGAATCTGTGAAATATTTTACACTGCCTCTTGGCAGTTGTTTTCAATAATTGTCATCTCCTAGTTTATTTACAGAACTTGATGCCTTAGGATGCAAACATTTACAACAAAAACACATGCAACGGTTGGTGGGCGTAAAACAGTCTCCTATCAGCGTAGAGTAGACCCGTTTGATCGCAGGCAATTAGAAGAACAACACCAATGCCGTATAACAAATCAGATAACAGTATCCGATGGTGACAGCAAAAGGAACTTATTTCGGTTCATCCAAATTTGATACACCAACATCCATAGCACACTGCATTGTTACTCTCATCAGTTTTCCTTTTGCATCGGTCGCTGCGGCGAAGTCCTCACTTATGCGCTTTTGTACGCATTTTTCCGTCTTCTAAGGCCTCATCTTTGCTCGTCTGGAGTCTCTGTCTCCTCCAGGGCCGTGTCTGGGTCGTGTATGTCTTGGTAAGCGTCCCCCGCGCCGTCCTCCGCCTCCACGTGTGTGTGGACCTCCGCCTGGTCGTCCACGGTGGACGCTGTGGACGCGGTGGACGCCGGTGTGGGCGGCTGTATGTGGACCTGGACGGCCGGCTCGGGGTCCTCGTGTCGCACGTCCTCACTGCTGTGGCTCAGACACTGCCCAGTGGAAAGAAGCATTGTGGTTACTCACGGATCCTCAATATGTCTAAAGGGCTATGTGCTTATAAGCTATGTTATGGCAAGAGGCTATCGGAAGGCTACGGTTATTTGAACAGCTACATAGTGCGAATTATTAAACTCCTCCACTTAGCTCGGATAAACATTTTTCCAAGCTGCAAACACCTCATACATCAGAAATATTGGGCCAAAACTAACCAAACTTGTTAAGCACAAACTTGCACTTTTCCTCCCGTCTACTCTATTTATCTTTTCAGCAGCACTTACCTGCGCCTTTGTCGTCTCCTGTTGCTCCCTTCTGCGGGGCAGAGTGTGTGAATCCGCTGGCTGCACGGACCGGCCCCTCAGCTGGGTCACCACCGGAGGGGGCACTGGTAGGGACCGACACCGGTGGACTGGGGTCCGGTGCGTACCCCGCACCGCCTGCAGGGTCCCACCGCGTCCCCCCGGCCACCGACCGACCGCATCCTCTGAGGGTCCGCGCTGGACGGGGGACGGACGAAGAGAGCTGCTCCTGTGGAGCGGATCCCTCTCAGCGACTGTGTGCTCCGGGGGCTGGGGGGTGCGGCTCCGCTCCCGGTGCCCCCTCTCCGGCGGCTGAGGGGTGCGGCTGCGACTGGTCCTGTGTCCTGGATAGTGCGCCAGTCCCGGGTCGTCGCAGCTCAGCCGGCGTGGCGGAGGGGGCGGCGGATGAGGCGAGCGCCGCCGCTGCACTTCTGTGGGACGGGACAGTAGACCGAGTAACGCGAACTGCTGTATGAGCAAGGTTATTTCCTTAGATTGATATCTTTGTTTGTTTGTTTGTTTTGTTGGGTTAGGCCCTTTCGGTCCAATTTGACCATTTCAGAGCCGAAAGGATGATAGGAATTAGGGGGAGACATTGGTCTGGGCAGGCACCTTAGTGAGTCGCCGGGGCTGAGCCCGTCCAGAGGACAGGCCACCCAGCCCCAAAGCACTCACTGCACCCGGCTACGGGGTGCGCTCCCTCGGGAGCAGCGGTGCCGCTCCAAGGGAGCAGCCCGCATGAGATAAAGTTGCCTGTCCAGCCCGGAGGGGGGTTGCGGCGTGGAGGAGAAGGATTTCAGTATCCTGAGGATAGAAGCACGGAACGGTGTGTGTAAGAGCAATTTAATTGGCTTAAATAGACATCTGAAGCTTTTGGCTACTTATCTTAGCACAACCATCAAAAGTTCCCTGATAATTAGGTAAGGCTGGTTAACCATTTCCAAGAGTTTCGGTCGATGCAAGTAGGCGAGCCACAGCCTCGCATGTCTTCAGCGATCCCACCTGCATATATGGGCTGCTGCTGCTGCGCAGAGGAGCGCTGTCTGAGCAGCTCCGGCCGGTCGGGAGAGCTGCGGCACGAGCCCACGTCGCTTATCGGCGTACAGTGACATCTGACGTGCACGGACACAATCACTAGTGCGACGACGGCTAGCAGCGCGAAGATGGCGCCACCCAGAACCCAGGAGTTCACCGAGAACTCGCCGCTCTCTGAAAATGTTGGAAATAAAGTTTGATGGTCAAACACATATTATTATTCCCCAATCCCCAGATTATTATTTCAATACATTCAAACTATACGTAAAGAAGTCATTGCTTTCTAACAATACCTACAAAATATAGGCAGTGGGCTACACTTTCAGGAGTAGGTATAGGCACTTCAAAGTCCGTCCTCCGTCACGAGGCTATGGCATCCGGAGGCATCACCGACGGAGGAGCAGGCGCGTTCATTGAGAGACCTGACGGCGAGGTGACAGAGCTCCGCATCGCCGACGCCGCCGGTCGCCTCTGCTCCAGTTACAGAGCGGGGATGATCGCGCTCCAAGCGGCCGCCGACTATCTAGTAGACAACCCCGCACACGAGGAGGACCCCATCATCTTCTGCACTGACTCCATGGCGGCGCTCGCGCACCTCCGCGAGGGACCGACGGCGCAGACGACACTGCTCGGAATCCAAATCTGGAGAGCCCTTCGCTCTCTGGCCTCTTCAGGACGAGCCATACACCTACAATGGGTCCCCTCGCACTGCGGGATCCATGGAAACGAGAGGGCAGACACCCTGGCGGGGGAGGCCTCCGCCCTGGACCAGAACTAAGCCACGCCACTGGACACCAAGACGATCCAGAGAGCAGCGGCAAGGCTGGCGCGCGCGAGGACCATAGCAGCCTGGCCCGACGGCTGGTACCGACAGCTGCAGAGCCCCGTCTCCCCCCACCCGCCGATCCCGGGGGTCCTCACAATATCTACACCGAATCGGCAAGAAACCTTCCAATGCCTGCGCCGGGTGCGAAAACAAAAGGTGCCCCGCGGCCCGGTGCGAGCTCTGCCGCAAAGAGGCGGATACCCCGGCACACGTGCTGATGCGGTGCCCCGCCCTGATGAACAGCCGATTTCGTGTGTTCGGAACGATCCACCCGACCCACGAGGACCTGCGCAGCAACGACGAGGTGGTGACCCTGGGGGCCGCCTTCATCTCCCTCCAGAGCCGACTGGCTACGCCCTAAGGCTGAAGGGAGCAGTCCAGTGTTCGCCACGGGCCCCAAAATCCCCAGCCCAGCCCGGCCCGGGCCCATGGGTTCAGAGCCCGGCCCAGCCCGTAGCCCGCTCTTGGCAAAATGTCCAAGCCCAGCCCGGCCCGGCCCGTCAAAAATAGCAATCTAGTTATTGTCTTAGTCTATTGCTATAATAAGCATGATTGATTACACTATTTTGAGAACAATTCATATTGCATGAATATTAACATGACAATCATGACTCCCTTCTTTTCAATGAATATAATCATTTCAAGTACCTATGGCACAAATTTTAACAGTAACAGCAAACACCTCAGTCAATTAGGTCATGATTACACACCTATAAAAAGTTAACATGATTATATTAACCACATTCTATGAGTAAAGTTATCTTGCAAGCTGATGTGTGTGAACATTTTCATGCATAATTGGTGACTAATGCATACTTGAAGGAAGTATTTGCAACTTACTCTATACTTCCCAGCACTTACCAGCAGAAAAAAAAGCTTGACTTATGGGCATTGATGAATCTGTCTCATGTCTGGGATTGACCTTGCTGTTAAATTCACTCCATTGATGCTGCAATATCAAAAGCCTGAGAAAGCATACAGAATAGGTGACACTAGCTTTAGCACTGTCTTCCAAAAAAGAGAAAATCCATCCATTTATCAGCAAAACTGATTTAATCTATTTTCAATTCATGCCCACGTGTCAACCGAATCTCTGTAGACAACTATCTGCTGCTTTCCTTGCTATTTTATGTTAGGATCTTTTCAAGATATGGATATCGCTAGCAGCGTAAGCAGGAAACATGGTAAGTTTGAAATGTCATTGGGTACTTTTGCGACTTTTACGCATCATCATCATCAATTGAAAATGAGCGAACACTTCTTGATTGTCGCAGCTGCGGCAGGTAGCGATTCTGACCAATTGTATAATAAAACATATATAATCAAGTTCTTATTTTGTTTTTCGTTTGAGTTTTCAGACTTCGTGATCTAGGTTTTATTTTCTATTTGTTTCATTTTGTTTTTCAGCTTGATACTTACTTAGAAAACGTATTTATTTGATATACTGTTGTGTATACGAGTAGTAAAGTAATCTTGGTGTATACTACCACCTATAGATGCCGCCACATAAACATATTGCCATGGGCGCCATGATCGTAAATTTTGTTGAGAAGGTTCTGGGTTGTTGTTGTGATTTATTTTGACAAATTTATGGACATTTAACCCTATTAGTGGCAGGCTCCTGGCTACCCCATATTAGTGGCAGGGGGGGGCTGTTTACGACCCCCCCTTGATATCTCGAGATCTAACGGGCCGATTTTCAAAATTCAAACGGCATTCGATTTGGCTCAACGAGATCTACATTTCTAAAAAAAAAAAATTAAAAAATGTCAATAGGGGGGTAGAGGGGGGTAAAAAAGGGCAAATTGCAGATACATTTTAGACTGTTTATCACGGCCAGGTTTCTGAACCAATCTTAACGCAACTTTTGCCGATCGATAGAGAATGAACCAGGAATTCACATGGATCCTAAAAATATGCATTTTCAAAAATCATAGGCGGATACAGATCATTGAGATTGGGGGTACACAAAAAGTATAGTAAATAAGGTTTTTGTTGGTACTGTTTCTAAAAAGGGTGGCAATGGTCTTGTTATGTTACAATTTTCTTATGAGAGAACGACTAAAATTGTATTGGTCATGCATAGGCGGTGTCAGGGCACCTATGTTGGGAGGTAAAAAATAACCCCGCTTTTTGGACGCCTGGATCCGCCTATTATAGCAAAAACGTGTCAAAAGAGGATGCACAATAACTTTGTATATGTTATCACATGATACCTTTCATTCACTGTTCGTAAAACTGGTGCAGCATCGTGATCTTCGCCCAAATGACTCGCTTCACGAATAGGACCCCCCAATTCCCAGTGCTCTGGAGCCGCCCCTGGTAAAGTTATGAACTTGAAATTTTCAGGGAATGTGCCCAATTTAGTTTTAGGAAAAGTCAGAAAATTTCAGCATCGTAGCTTCAGCGGTTTCGGAGATATTCCCGAAAAACCTGAGGGGTGGATAAAAACAACCCCCCCTGCCACTAATAGGGTTAAGGAAGCTTTCATCGCGAAATACTCTGTAGAATTCCTCGTTACTTACAGTGTGTTTCGTGAGTATCCTTTTAAGGTTCTGTTCGTTAAAAAGCCGTCGGTGAAGGAAAAAAGACTGTGTTGGAATTGTCTCACTATCGCCATATATAAGTATTAAACTTAATGTAGCCCTGTAGCCCATCATTGTTGAGTGGCTTCTTAGTTTTTGGAGTTGTAGTGCTAAGTAAGTTATTCTGATAACTACATTTTAACTTTTATTATCAAACTAATGATGCTAGAGATTCTCTGATCTTTTTGGTTGCGGAATTTTTATGAAAACCCTCCTATGTGTGACATGATGTGATATTGGATAATTCTCAAGATTCCCAAAATTCAATATGAAGTAGGTTTTCTTTCACATTGCTTAAATTTGGTTTAGTTTTAGTATTTTCCCAGTGGGTTTTGTTTGCATCAGTTTCCAAATTTTCTTAAATTGACATTAGTCGCAAAACCCATAGTCCACAAAGCTCTTGGCCCGGCCCGTCCATAGCCCGTTAACTAATGATATTTGGGGGCCCAGCCCAGCCCGTAGCCCAGCCCGGCCCATGGCCCGTTGGGCTGGCCCGGCCCGTGGCGAACACTGGAAGGGAGAGAACGACAACAACAACAACAACCACAACAGGCTATGGGTCTCTCCATGGCCTCCTCTATCGAAGACCCAAGGGAGAGCTGTCACACCCGCTTGGGTCCGTTATTTGTTACTGTGTAAGTGTTATTTAAATTGCATAACATATATATTAGCATAACATCACGCCGACCGCCGCCCCTATGACGCCCATGGCTCCGCCTGGCGGGAGACTGCAGCGCGGTGTTAGCCGCACGGCGGGGTGGTAGGCTGTGCCGCAGTACACGCGCGGCGCCGGTACAGTCTAACCACCCGCTGCTGCCTGAGAAACGGCTGCGGGGAGTGAATATTTGGTTCCGAGCTGTGTGTTGCATCGATGGTCATCGGTCAAATATTATACCAACAACTAATTAATTGTTCAGATTATCAGATTGCTAAGTTTCGTCACAAGTAGCAGCGAAGACACTTCAGTAGTGCTTCGCTGGACGCTGGTACTTTGCTAAGACGCTCAACCAAATAATTACCACATTCCTGCCTTTGTTTCCGGTAACCTTTCTGCATTTTTTCTCTGAGGTTCACGAACCAACTGTTTTATCCGTTGAGCGGCAGATAAAGCACGCACCGTCTGTGTGGGGGCCGACGCTGGGCTGCGGGCGGAACTGAAGGCTCGTCGTCTCGCTCCGACCTGCCGGCGACTCGGCTGTGACCTCTGCCCTGTACTGACCGGGCGGCAGGGAACTCACAGGGACGCTGAAAACAGAAAACAACCCTCTCGAGGTCAGCGATATGCTTACGATATTGATACATGTACCGAATGATAGAAGTCATTAGACATTAACACTCGTGTATGGATTGCTAAATACGGCATATCACATGAGTTGTACACTGATAGAAAGACGCATTTTGTAACATTTTCTTGTAGTGATGAATCTCGAACGTTTTTTTTTTCGGACAGGCGACTTACATAAAGTGCGGCTGGTTTTCTGTCCAGTTCCCGACTATCTTTTCGTCAGGTCCGTACAGCCAGAGGGTGTACCAGTTGGCCATTCCTCCATCGGGTCCTGGTATGCAACTGATGACAGCCTCTGACAGTGACACAGTGCAGTTGTGCACGGGATCAGGCCGTTCTGAAAAGACAGGTCCGCCTTCAAAATAGCTTCAGCTCACCGACTGTTACTTGGGGCGCTGAATATCCGGGAGACGTCCATCAGCATTACCTTCAATTGTCAGTATCATACTGGCAACAGCCAATGGCTGCATTTGGGTAAAAAACTGACGACTTTATCGAAATGCTATTGAAATAACTCCATGTTTTGGGAAGAAAGCATCCTTTCCGACCCGTTTTTCTTCCTTATAATCTATCATAACACGGCACAATCATGCCACAAACCACTCGACTTCGTGGCACTTCCATCCACCCGGCCATTTCCTGTTGTGTGACTGAACTCAGTGTTCCGTGTCCCCCTCCCCCCCCCCCCCCCTGTCAGCTGTAACTCACCCGGGGGCACCAGGTCGACCCGACACGGCTCCAGTTGTCGACCCAGCGAGTTGGTGGCTCGACACAGCAGTCGGCCATAGTCGGTCTCCGCCGTGGGCGTCCACTGTAACACGCTGCTGTGACCTGTACCGGGGGGAAGTTCACGGGTTCAAATCCGGGTACGGCCACACTGTGTGAAGTTACATGTGTGGGCTGTTTGTTGTGAAGAACTGTTTTGCATACCTATGCAATATGAATATTACGTTTGAACATGGTTATCTTTGGTGCGTTCAAAGTGAACCTTGTGCATATGGTGGGCACTGGCGGATCTCCGTAGCTTCCAAAGTGGATGGAAACGATATTTTTCTTTTAATGAAAACATTTTACGAGGTAAAGTTTGCATTGAACTAACTCGCAACGAGTAAGCAAGCGAAATCCGAAAACTTTTATTTAGGGAAAGTTGTTTGAGGCATGACCGTTCCCGTAGCATCCAATGCTTCTTCCCTGGTCCACCGGTGGTCGAAGACAGTTATTAGCCTCGTGTTAATCATTGTGGACAACGTTGGACGTTGGAATCTCATTTGAAATTGTTTTAACGGACTTTCACTGGGTAGTGGGTAAAAGTTATTATTGGTCCCGGTACTCCGACTTGTATTGAAAAGTCTTCGATGGGGCACACATAGGTTTAAAACAGACAAAAATCAGGTAGCCATTTTTCGCAACACCCCAGTGAAAGTCCGTTAAAACAATTTCAAATAAGCATTTACCTGGGTATTAACTATTAACCCTCGCACGACCAGGCCATTTCTCATAACACGAACGACCAGGGGGGGGGGGTTGTTACGACCCCCCCCCCTGGCGTTTCGAAACGGAAGGTCGTAGAGCTTAGCGGAAAAAACCAACGGATTGCTCTCAACGAGATCTCGCGATTGGTGGTATATTTTTTGGTCCTAGCCCTAGCGAAAAAGTCCTATAGGACTGGCGAACTGTTCTATAGGACCAATAGGATTCCTATAGGAATTTGTCCTATAGGACACTCTTCTACAGGACTCCTATAGGATTTCTATAGGATATTGTCCTATAGGACAATTTCCTGTAGGACTTAATAGGACACCTGTAGGACACTTTCCTATAGGACACTGTCCTATAAGAGTGCTATAGGAATCCTATATGGCAGTTTCCTATTGGAGACTCTCCTATAGGAGTGCTGTAGGACTCTTATATGACAGTTACCTACCTTTAGGATGCTGCCCTATTGATAGGAGTGTTATAAGACTCATATATGATACTTTCCTATAAACACCCATCTGACAATGTCCCAAAGGATTCTAAAGGTAATCCTATAGGATATGCCTATTGGACACTTTCCTATAGGAGTCCTACAGGACACTGACTATCATATATGATTCCCATAGGACTCCTTTCGCAAGCGTAACTTGTAGCATAAGGGTGGGTCTTCGCGCCAGATATACATGTGTGTGAAGCATGGGATCGTTGGAAATAAAAACGACGGATGATCACTGAGATTTTTGTTTGTGTGCGTATGTTGTAGTTTGCATGTGCGTGCCCGCTATATACACTATTTCACGCTCCTGCGTGGCGCCGTTCCGGCGCAAAACACCCAGATGTGGATGACACTTTTCGTTTGTTACAGACGGACCGACAACTTCTCTTTTATAATATGTACACTATTCTGTATTCTGTATTTGGTACAACCGTCAACAGAACATGACCAATTAATGACGCGGAGTCATATGCGTAAATAGGTATCATCAGGTCAACTCATGCATACATGCTAAAGGTAGCTACAGCAGCTTAAAAAATTAGGAGGGTACATAGGTACCTACCCAGGACAAGATTTGTGCCCACTCCACGACTCCATCACTGCGTACACCAAATGCCATTTCAGTCGAGAACACCTAGATCTCGCATCTCGGAGACGCGCTCTAATACTAAATGGTTGAAGTAATAAGATTACATTTTCAGGCTATTGACAGGTTGGACCATTTATGCAGTCACTGTCGTTAAGAGCTATGTTATCATTCCTTTACCGTAACATAGTAACCACTAGTCCTGGTGGCGCAGTTAGTTAGGGCGCTGGTCTGCTATGCGGAGGGTCCTGGGTTCGACTCCCGAGTATGACCGGACCGCTGTTATTTACGTTACCTGTAGGATTCCTATAGGACTCCTATATAAAATTCCTATAGGACACCGAAAAATACTATAGGACAGCCACTACGTTCTATAGGATGCCTAAAGGACTATGTAAAGGTCCTATAGGATTCCAATCACAAGTCCTATCGAACAACACGTCCTATAGGAATCCTATAGGTATCCTATAGGTATCCTATAGGTATCCTATAGGTATCCTATAGGTATCCTATAGGTATCCTATAGGTATCCTATAGGTATCCTATAGGTATCCTATAGGCATCCTATAGGCATCCTATAGGAATCCTATAGGATTCCTATTGATAAGTACTACACAATTTCTATAGGACTGTCCTATAGGACTCAATAGGACTTTTTTGCTAGGGAGGTCAACATTTGACCTACTTATGACCGGTCAAAGGTCAAATTTTCCGAAAAAAATCAAACTTTTTCAACTTTGCGCAACGATTGCGGCAAAACGGTGTGAGATATTAACTTCAAACCTTCAACAACGTATTCCCCACTCAATTCTGCATCATATATGGTGTTTTTGGTGGATTTACCCTATAAAAGTAAGAGGCCTATTGCTGATGAGTGATATGGTGTCACATCACCCTCCGGTGTTTGTCCCCTTTGTCCCTCCCGCCTGACATGACCCGGCCATTTTGTTTATTTCAAAAGTTAGTCAATAGATGTCCCAACATGTCTGGAAAGTTCTATTAGCATACATGCACTACTCCACATGCAATCGTAAAAAAGCTGGGGGCGCATTTATCAGACACTCACTTCTCAGAAATGGCGGCGTACGCTGTACCACATATGACGTCATAACTCCGTGACCTGACCTGACCCGGTCAAGTTTCTTGCACCACACGATGGCCAATACTTGCCCTAACATGCATGGGAAGTTTCATGACGATCCATCAAACAATGTGTATAGCATCAATCAGCAGAAAACCTCGGGACTCGGTACACACTTCGTGAAAATCCGGCCGGAGGCTGTACCTCTTATGACGTCATAACTCCGTGACCTGACCTGACCCGGTCAATTTTCTTGCACCACACGATAGCCAATGCTTGCCCCAACATGCATGGGAAGTTTCATCATGATCCATCAAACAATGTGGGTATCACCGGCAGAAAACCTAGGGATTCGGCGCACACGTTTGGTAACTGTCGGCCGGAGGCTATACCTCTTATGACGTCATAACTCCGTGACCTGACATGACCCGATCAATTTTTTTCGGCAAAAGATGCGCAAAGGTTGCCCCAGAGGGTATTGAAAATTTCAGCCCGCTACGACAAGCCGTTTAGCGTGCACTTCGAAAAAACCTCAGGGGGGGGGGTTGATACAACCCCCCCTAGGCGTTCTAGGGTTAAGACATGACTCTTCAGTTGTAATCTCATTCAGCATTTTAACATATATTCCTGAATAGAATGTATTTCAGTCTTATCTGCAGGTAATGATGTTGCAATGGTGCAAGAATTACGCTTTTCCTTCTTGCCAGAAATAGTTTCGCTATTGCTTTGCTCCAGTTGTTTTAATTTCCTAATTTTGCGGATCACTGAGTTATGGGAGAGATCTTTGACCTTGATCGATGGACATCGTTCCAACTTAATAAAGTTTCTGGCTGCTGTTACCCTCACCTGATTTTATAGGAAATGCACAAAACGCGGTTAAATCGCTACTGCCAGACTAGCTTAGTTTTTTACCAAAGCTAGTGTCAACTCACCTTATCATCACCTCATCAAGGTGCTGTGTGACCCCACCTTTGTCGGAGTGCGCTGACCGAAGGAGGGTGCGCGTTGGGCCTCCGTCAGCCGGCTGCAGCTCCCAGTGGAACTGAGAGGGACGCGGCTGGGCGCGTACCCTGCAGCTGACGAATGTGACGCGGGAGGGCGCCGCGAACTGCCGCAGTACCGCCGCGGACCGGCAGACCGGAGCGTCTGTGGATATGTGGCGACAGCGGGTCAACTGCTGAGTTATTTTGTGTATGCGTGTGTCAGGGAGGGGGTGGACAACAGCTCTTCGATTGGGTCATAATTTTGTATTTTATGTAACAGGCATCATTCACTGTAACTTCAACTGCTCATCTTGTTTACTCGTAACGTCATCACTTTACTCACACTTTAGCTCGAGGTTCACAGTGTTGCTGAGCCCTGCCCCCAGCGTGTTGTTGGCGAAACAGGCGTACCGTCCCGTGTCGTGTGGAGTGAGGTTCTTGATGATGAGAAGCTGCGGTCCGGCCACAATGCGATCGCTGGACACCAGCTGCCTGTCCTGAGTGGGGAGGATAGGTCAGCCTCCGGTCCGATAGGGTCACGACCATTTACCAGGCCCCTGAGCATGTGCGAACAATCTTAGCTACTCTGCTTAGGCAGTACATATAGTTACGAGCGAGCGAGCGCAGCGAGCGAAGCGAGTCTTTTCAATATAACGGAAAAATCTCAGTATGAGCGGCCCGGCCCTGCCCGGCCTGTGACGCTTTTGAGAGGCTTATATCTCAGCAACCGCTAGGCCGATTGGCCTGCGGTCTTTTTTGCTGGGTAGCCCCATCCCTTCTACCCCGTAATTGACTACTTTTGATACATCTCAGTGACCGTCGTGGCACGTGCCACGTGAAAAGTCAAGGGTATTCAAGCTGTTTTTCAAAAGTAGTGATTTTAAGAGGCCCATGGCCATATCTCAGCAACCGCTTGGGCGATTGTCTTGCGGTAATTTTTGTGGGATCAAGCTGCATCCCTTCTACCAAAGGTCGGATACTCTTGATCTACGTGAGTGACCCCCACTGCGCGTGCAAAATGCAAAAAGAAGAGGTGCCAAATTTGTTCCCATTTCAATAACTCGGTAATTACTGGGGCGATTTCGTTGAAACTTAACATACAGGTAGGCACCCACCAGGCAATGCATTCCCATGTGTTGCGGTTAGGGTGCTACTGCACGTGCGCACGTGCAGGGGGCGCTCCCAGATCTCGAGAACGGCTGGGCCGATCATCGCTCAAATTTGGTACACGGTTGGGGACTAGTTAGTAGGGTGCCGTGCAAAAGTCAGTTTGGACCCCGTTTGCACGTGTGCACGTGCAGAATGCCGCTTCCAGATCTCAGGAACGGCTAGGCCGATTGCGCTCAAATTTGGCACACCGCTAGCGACCGGTTAGAAGGGTGCTTTGCACAAGCCTGTTGGAATTACCCTCTCGCCCTTCCGCACGTGCAGGGCTCACTATCTGGCTCGCTCGTTCATCGCCCAAAAGGCGTTTTACTGGTGATAAATAGATAAGAAACATTGTGAACAGAATTTGAATAAGTCGAGACAGTCTGCTTCTGGAGTTTTCCGTATTCATACATAGTGGTTCGACGTCCCAGACAGAGACACAACAGTCAGAAATGTGTTGAGGAAGCTGACATAAATAATCAGCTCTGAGTCGCGTCGTGTCGCTCCCGGCTCCGTGGGACCCCTAATAATAACATCAGAGTGAAGCAGCTTCAAACGCCTCGTCACGATGACTACACGGAACTCTGTAATCACCACAAAGGTGTCATTTCGGTTTGATTAAAACAAAATCGCGGCCGGGTCAGTCGGTTCTCTTTGAAAGTGTAAAGGTCCAGGTGACCGCACTATGTGGCAGCCTCGCTTTGATGGCTGCTGTAGGAGAGGACGCACTCGGTGCGTTAAATAAGCCTCGCTCGGTCACGCTTTGTTTCGGAGGCTCTCCAAAAGTCACGTTGTACGTCAGTCCTTAGTGCTAGTACATCACAGGCCCGTCTCGGGTTAACTGGGTAACAGGCACGCAAGTGCATATTAGATGTATCGCATTACGTGCTACATCGCATGCCTCCATCGCTTACGACCATCAGGAAGTGGAAACCGGGAACCTCGAGTCTGTTTTATTATAGAAACTATGGCCCATCCGCATGCTGTAGGTACTTCTTTGCAGATGTATAGAAACATACCAATGGCATATAATGGTAAGTGACAACACCGAACCGCAGCCTGCTTTTATCTTTTAGCTACTTCGTCCAAAAATAGTGACATGCTGGTGATGTTTCCTTTGAGGTCGTTTAGTGTGTGTGCTTGATGCTGCATGCATATTAACCCTCGCCCGCACATGCCATTTTCCCATCCTAGAACGCACATGGGGGGGGGGGTTGCCACCCCCCCCCCGCGCCATTTCATTCCTGTTGGAGATAGAGCTTAGCGGTAAAGACCAAAAAGATTCTTTGGGAAGAGACGAATCCAATGATGCCCAGTTTCACCTTCTCAGGTCAGTCATTGACCTTCCAGGTCAGGTCAAACTAAAAAATGTTGCTGTTTTGGGTCACCGTTGGATATCAAGTGCGCTGCTTATCATATACCGATGACGATGCCGTTTTCTGGTGCCAGCCCACCTAGAACCTCTTTGTCACTCTACCCGACCAGGTTTTTGCTGCTGAGGTCATTTCAGGTCAAGCTAGGTCAAGGTCAATTATATGTGTTTGTATGTCTGTGTGTGTCTGTGTGTATACTGATGTGTGCACCGATTGTTTATGTGTTTATATTTCATGAAATCATGATCTGAGAAGCTTTTACCAAAAATGCAGTCAAAAAACTTCACAAAAAGTAATTTCCGCTTGCCTAAAACGCAATTATCTTAGATGACCTAGGTTGACCTTGACCTTGACCTTGACATCTGTACGTCGTCGAGCAACATGTTCCATGATAGGTTGGAGGTAAGACTGGCAAAAAAAGGCCGAAATCAAGGTGTCAAAAGCTCACAAGGCCCATAGCCAACGCAAGATGTTGAGAATTGGCCATTTGGGTCATGACATGACCTGAAAAACAAGGTCATATCTCCAAAACCAAAAAACACAGAAACTTGAAATTTTCAGTGGACATCAAGAAAGGATAGAGGAGCAGCTATACGAAAAATCAGCCTTCTAGCTCTAAAAATGTTGAGTGCAGAGCAGAAAGACTACCTGGGGGGGGGGGTGGCAACCACCCCCCCCCCCATGTGCGGGCGAGGGTTAACCCTCGCCCGCACATGCCATTTTCCCATCCTAGAACGCACATGGGGGGTGGTTGCCCCCCCCCCCCCGCGCCATTTCGTTCCTGTTGGAGATAGAGCTTAGCGGTAAGGACCAAAAAGATTCTTTGGGAAAAGACAAATCCAATGATATCCAGTTTTACCTTCTCAGGTCAGTCATTGACCTTCCAGGTCAGGTCAAACTAAAAAATGTTGCTGTTTTGGGTCACCGTTGGATATCAAGTGCGCTGCTTATCATATACCGATGACGACGCCGTTTTCTGGTGCCAAGCCAGCTAGAACCTCTTTGTCACTCTACCCGACCAGGTTTTTCCTGCTGAGGTCATTTCAGGTCAAGTTAAGTCAAGGTCAATTATATGTGTTTGTATGTCTGTGTGTGTCTGTGTGTATACTGATGTGTGCACCGATTGTTTATGTGTCCATATTACATGAAATCATGAGCTGAGAAGCTTTTACCAAAAATGTAGTCAAAAAACTTCACAAAAAGTAATTTCCGCTTGCCTAAAACGCAATTATCTTAGATGACCTAGGTTGACCTTGACCTTGACCTTGACATCTGAACATCGTCGAACAACATGTTCCATGATAGGTGGGAGGTAAGACTGGCAAAAAAGGCCGAAATCAAGGTGTCAAAAGCTCACAAGGCCCATAGCCAACGCAAGATGTTGAGAATTGGCCATTTGGGTCATGACATGACCTGAAAAACAAGGTCATATCTCCGAAACCAAAAACCACAGAAACTTGAAATTTTCAGTGGACATCAAGAAAGGATAGAGGAGCACACAGACACACACAGACATACAAACACATATAATTGACCTTGACCTAACTTGACCTGAAATGACCTCAGCAGGAAAAACCTGGTCGGGTAGAGTGACAAAGAGGTTCTAGCTGGCTTGGCACCAGAAAACGGCGTCGTCATCGGTATATGATAAGCAGCGCACTTGAAAAATCAGCTTTCTAGCTCTAAAAGTGTTGAGTGCAGAGCAGAAAGACTACCTGGGGGGGTGGGGGTGGTGGCAACCACCCCCCCCCCATGTGCGGCACCAGAAAACGGCGTCGTCATCGGTATATGATAAGCAGCGCACTTGAAAAATCAGCTTTCTAGCTCTAAAAGTGTTGAGTGCAGAGCAGAAAGACTACCTGGGGGGGTGGGGGTGGTGGCAACCACCCCCCCCCCCCATGTGCGGGCGAGGGTTAATGAATTAATTAATGAAAAGCTGTGTCCAAACGCTATGCTGTAGCAACAACAAAAAGTCATTGTCGGGTATAATTAAGTCCCTACATCTTCACCCACACCTGTGGGATATTGTGCATCTTGTGGAATTTGTATAGTAATCACGAGAAGATTTCCCGGTGGAAATAATATCGAGTTGTTTATCTCCCCGTTCCAGGAACTCACGTTATGAAGCCAGAAGGTAAACTGTGCTGAAGGTTGAGCTCCAACGAAGCAGGAAAAGTGGGCGTCTTCGCCTTCCACTAGCTCGGACGAGGGCCCCGAGAGAATCGCCTTTGGAGCGTCTGAAACAGGGTTGTATACGACTCAATCAATAGCAATCAATTCAATCACGACAAATTTGGGAAACCAATCAAATCAATCAAGTCAGAGTAGTTTTCGGGAATTGATTCAATCGACTCAAACGCGACAATGAAAGGAATCAATCAACTCAATCAAACGACTCAAACCAAGACATACATTAGGTTTTTTTTGCCCCACCAACTTGGAAAAGTGTCCATAGCAGTCTGGTGTACCTACCTACCTACCTACCTACCCTACCTACAGGAGAAGCATAAAAATATTGTCATTTAAAATTATGAATTGCCATGCCATTCAAAGTTTCTATGTAATAAGGAAGGATACCTAGTGATGGACAGGTGGATCATGATATTGAGGTTCAATGGGTAGAATTGGAGCAGAAGTTTCATTTAATGGGTGCAAAATAACCCAGTAGTTGACTCGCCCCTTAACCCAAATCACCACCTTTCACCTAAAAGTTGTCAATTTAATTTTGGCTATATTCCAACTCCATTTACACTAAATATCAGATATTGCAGTTGAAAGTTGACTGCTCGGATTTTGGCAGTGTTCGTGATTTGGCCATTTACCCTACACCATGTCTATTTTAATGGATAATATGCATCAATAACATATTAACCATAGGGAAATAGAAATAAATATCTTACCTGCATCAGCATCATGCATGTGACGGTTTCGGTTAGACAGAGACTGACGGGCAGCCTGAAAAATCTTTCCACACAATGTGCATTTGAGACGTGGGATGTTGTCAGATTGGGAAGGAAGAGATTTGAAGTATTTAGCGGTCCACGACTCTGGGCGTGGCATGTCAATGTTAGGTACCTATGTGAAGAATTCAAAACATTTTATTGCAATACAATTTGAAACTGTTAGGACTGGGGGATAGGGATGAGGATTAAAAATATATTTAAAGGAAATGGAGAGGACATGGACTCTAGAACCACAGGAAAGTTAAGGACAAAGGAAGTAGGAACAAGGAAAATTAAAACGCGAAAACGGCACGGTGCGACTGCAAAACAATGAAGACGTTTTGCCAATAAGTATGCTAAGCTTTTATAAATCCTTATTCTACGTCTTTTGATATTTTGGTAAGATGACGTCATTGATTATCATGTAGTATGGTAGATCATCATAAAATAAATCGGTTGTACAACACCAATTTCGTTTTAATTATTATTTCATTTGAAATAAAACCACTTAATAATATTCGGTAAAATATTTTAAGGAAAATGTAATATATTAAATATGTTATGCTTAGGCTCTCAGGAGAAAAGGATCAACAAACGTTCTGCTGCAAATTAAACAATGCAGCAAATTAGCTATTAATTAGGTACGCAAACGTAATTAGCGAGACGAAAACGGCGCTTTTGTTTCAGTTATTTTTGTAGGGGTTTCAAATATTTATAGAGTTCAGTGGGTTGTTTCTGAGGAGACGTGGAGATGTGAATTATTAATTAATCACACTTTATTAGTATATAGGGCCTTGCACTTTATCATCTGGATTAAAAAAAAAACGTTTCCTGCTGAGTGCAGAAAGGTAGGTAGGTGCATCGCCAGGTTCTATCACCAGGATTGGAGCAGTTATTGCAGTTGAAAGTCAAAGTGGGCTGTTCATGTTTAGGCCCTGTTCTTTATTTGGCCATCTACCCCATATTGCTGTTGTGATGACAAGCAGTTTTCAGTGTAGTTTTGTGATCTTTGATGTCATCAATTGGTGTCATTATTTTTCGTCAACTAAAACTTATTTGAACTTTCCATTCAATCGACTCAATCATACGAGTCACTCTAATTTTCGGGAATCAAATCAGTCAACCAGTCGCTAAAGTCAAACGAGTCAGTCAACCAGTCATCTCGAAAAGTCAATCGACTCAATCCAATCAACTCAAAATACGCGTTGAAACAAATCAATCAATTCAATCGACTTGATTGGTATACAACCCTGGTCTGAAATGGGATATGGCGTCAGTTTTACATTGCGGGTGACTTATCCCGCGCCCCGCTTGGGGGGGGGCAGAATCTGCCCCCCCTCCCGTTTTTCGCCAATAACTTCTAAACGCGTTACGCCAGCGACGTCAAACTTTCAGTACCTTATCATACATCAATTTGACACGTTCCCTGAAAATTTGAGCGAAATCCGTCGGAAAATTTTTGAGAAATTGACGTTTTAGTGACGTCATGTTCGCCATTTTCGCCTAAAAAACGGCAAAATTTCAAACGCCGCTAACATCTTCATTTTTAAAGGAATCAAGACGTAACAAAAAAGGTTATACGTGATTCTACTTTGTCTATCAAATGGCTATCTCGGTTTTTGAAAATTTTGGTTTTTGGCCCAATTTTTTTCAAAAAACTGACTTTTTTGGGAAAATAATTATAAAATCCAAAATTTTAAGTGTATCGAAAAAAACGGAATATATGTCAGAGAAGTGGTCAATGTGCATCTACATACCAATTTTTAGAAGAATCGGTTCAAAAATGTGGGAGTTATTCAAAATTGTATGACGTCACGACACACAAAATTTTTGAAAAATGATTTTTTTGGAAGTTCTGGACCTCGTACGGAAACAAAAATAGCACCATTCGATTCGCCGTGAAAAACTGCATCAGATAGACACCTTTTTAGGCCTTAACAACCAACTTCAAAATTTGACTACACTTGACCTGACCTTGACCTGACCTCGACCTGAAATTCATCCAGAGGTGGTCCATATCTTTTAGTGAGTGTGCCTATTGAATTCTATGAGTAAAATGACCCATAAAACATGTGTCGCACATGTCCTTTTCTATATTTTGTTTTTGGTGACCTGACCTGACCTGACCTGACCTGACCTTGACCTTTGAATGACATTGTATGCAACGAATATCGTCTTGGTAGTCTAAGAACACGTTTTGGGCAATCAGTCTCAGTCCATTCTTCGGCAACTACGGTGCAAGGCCGATACTGTAGAAACTTGCATTTTGTACCCTTGACCTGACCTTGACCTGACCTCTGACCTACTTAAGCAAAAAAAATTGGGCTCTGAAGATCCGCCTTGTTGAGAGCTTTCGATTGCCGTTTTCCCCGTCTTTCTACGACCATCGGTTCGGAAGTTAGACAGGGGGGGGGGGCAGAATCTGCCCTCCCCCCCCCCCCCCAGCAGGGCGCGTATGGCTGAATAGCCCAGCGGGGCGCGGGTTATCACATTGAGTTCTATGTTAAGGTGCACAACTGGCACAACTGACAACTGCTTTCCGAGTCTGACTTACATTTTCTTTTAACCCGCCATTACCGGGGAGGGGGGGGGGACTGCGATTGAGAGGGGGGCTCTACAGAACCCCCTCCCGTTTTTCGGCAATATCTTCTAAACCATTTGGCGAATTAACACGAAACATGCAGTACCTTCAGCGGCATCAATTTGACACCTTGTGGTAAAATTTCAATTTTCTGGCTACCATAGTTTGGCCGAAAATTACGTCCAAGTGACGTCATGTCGGCCGATTTTTATGCAAAATATTGAATTACGGCAAACGCTCTCAAGAGCTCAGTTTAAGAGCTAGATCCAATTTCTTTGCATGAGTGGACTACAAATACACGTAGCTATCAAACTGCTATCTCGATTTTTCGAAATTTAGGAAATTTTGACCGACATCCTTTTGCCAACCACGCGCTGTGATTTATGAAAGCACACTCACACTGCACGCCAATTGTGGAGTTCGCTCGCCGTTCCTGGCCGCTGACGGGGTTCGTCACCGAACACGTCACCTGACGTCCATCATCGTCCGGTGACGTCACCCTCGTCAGCTGATGTGACGTCTTCTCGGGGAGGTGATGTGACGTCAGCGTAGTTGACTGAAATATCCGTGATTTGTTTGTTGGCAGGGGGGATTTGCTGTTACTATGGCCCACCGACAGCGGATCAGTGCGCTCAGGAACTACGAGCCCTTCAACAATACCTACGATAAAAAGGGAACATGGGGATATTGTCTAATATAGAAGAGTTTTCTGACATTTCGCATTAATTATTACGGGTGTTCTTGCATGTAGTTTGTGAAGAGAAGGATAAAATCACGAAATATAGTCATTTTGCTTATGAACCTAAGCAGGTAGGTATTAGATATTTCCCTAAAAAATCAAACTGAATAAATGAAAGTCTTCTGTGTATTATTTTCTAAGTCACTGCCATCTCATCCATTAGAAAACGCCTGGCTATTTAAATATAAAAATATGTTTCTGCCCACCTGGTGCTCATCTGCGACGAATGTCGCACCCCAGAGCCACGTGACTTTGTACCCCGGCCGTCCGGGGAGCACGTGACAGGCACACGTGACCTCACTGCCGGCGGCGACGGCGTCCGGCTCACAGCGCAGCGTCACAGAGTCGGGTCCGTCTGCGGCGCGGGGGCGGAGAGAGAGAGAGAGAGAGAGAGAGAGAGAGAGAGAGAGAGAGAGAGAGAGAGAGAGAGAGAGAGAGAGAGGGAGGGAGGGAGGGAGGGAGGAAGAGAGAGTGAGAGAGAGAGAGAGAGAGAGAGAGAGAGAGGGAGAGAGGGAGGGAGAGTGGGGGTTTATTGACACGTGAGTCAAGCAATGAATACCTACCTATTTGTATTGTTTGGTATGCTTGACAACGGTATCCGTCAGACAGGTCCAGTCTGGCAATAGGTCTGGTATGTCAGAAGCAAAGTCTGGTATTTATTTCTAGAAAATCACAGTGTAAATTTAAGACTTGTTTCTGGAACGATAGGAATGCGCGATTACCTTCAACCGATATAAAAAGCTATTGAAATTAAATAGTGATCATATATAAATCACGTTCTATCAGGTGACCTACTATGTAGTATATTAGCAGCAGCATTACATAGCTAACTAGCAGTAGTAACGGCGACATTTTGACTCCTCTAAACCGTCAGAATGCCACTTGCAGTTGGCAGCACTCACAGGAAACTCGGAGTGACACCTCGGCGCTGACACTCTCCCCCACTGCAGTTCCCGCTCTGCACACCAGGGCGGCGCTGTGGTCGCTCCTAGTGACGTTGTAGTCGAGTTTCTGCTCAGACGGGTTGTCCCTGCTCGTTTCCGATGAAAGAAGCTGGTCCTTCTCTCCCGGTCGGCGTATCAGCCAGGCGATCTTCCAGGTCTGGCCTCCTCCTGTCGCAATGACAGAAGCGACCTTCTTTGAACAGTTGTATTTTATAATCTTGCATATAAGCAGTAAGCACTCTATCTATTTTCACATCTATTGTCATATCAGCTAAACCGTTAACAAAAAAAAAAAAAAAATGAATAGGTGAGTATCAGTGCATGCTATTATCAGGCACATGTCTACCCTCAATAAAAGGCAGCAGCGAACTGCAACTGTAGTGCAAAATATCATTTCCAAAGTCCCAGTCTCTTCAAGTCAGATTCGCGTTGTCTTTATCTCACCATTTGCCAGCTGACAAATAAGTCGAGCTGTTTCGTATTCCACTGTGGACATTTCTCCTGTGGGGTCGAGCTCGTCATGATACTGTCCAAGAATCTTCAGAGACGGGACAGCCGGTGCTTCTGTGAATAATCGCACCAACTCATCGGGTTTCAAGAAGTCTGGATGAAGTTAGCTGAACATCAGTTAAAGTGAAGCAGTTATTGTTGCCGGCGCGTAACTATCCCTGATTCCGTCGTAAAGTAAAAGTTTGTCACACATGCGGCAAACTTTTCCAGGGAATCGTGTCCAACCTTGGTTCAAACTCTTTCACAGAAAATTGTTTTTAACTTAATAGCGAATGCTTTGTTAACCCTCGCCGGCACAGGGTGGCGAGCAACTCCCCCCCCCCCCGCCTAAGGTTTTTCGCAAGTAACCCACGTAAAAAGTGGCCGATCGCGTCAACATTTTCAGTACCCTCGTGTTGATCAATTTTACACCTACCCTAAAAATTTCATGACCCTGAGCTTTGATCTGTGACCTACTTTTCGAAACCATGTTTGGCCGGAATCGCGATTCGGCGTATGTCGGCTTACATTAGCCGCGAGTTTGCAGTCTTTTCGTAACTTCAAGCGTTCAAACATGTGATTTGATGTTGCTACCATGCATTAGGGTGTATGTCATGGTCATTGACCTTTAATGATCTCGGTTCACTTTTTCGAGTTTTTTATGTTTCCAGGCTAGTTTTGGGAGCTAAATTCGAATTTCGCAACCATTTGAACATTTACGAAGTAGTTTTGGTGCTTTCGTAGCATGCTACGAAGCTGTCAGAGGCAGTTAACACGTACTACGAATATCCGGCAGGACCCCTACTGGTTGACCTGACCTGACCTGTCCCGACCTGGCCTAAATGCATAAAGACATCATCTGTGATCAAAACTTCATGATATTCGTGATCAGCATCTCGGAAAACCCTAAAGCAGCCGCACTTTACGACGTTTTAACAGGTCCCGATTTTCCCGACTTTTGGGTCATTGACCTGACGCACTGAAAACAATTTCACCCGAAGCTGGCGAATTAAGCGTTGCTCTGCGGGTGGTATATGTGTATTAACTCGCCATGTCCAGATTCTAGCTAGAGGGTAAGCAGACTTGCCTGCCTTATTACTCGTAAATATGCACTGCACCCACAGTCTGCAGTAAGGTAGCTACCCAGCACCGGATATTGTCCCCGCGTGTGTCGAGTCATTGACACAGCCCTCACTGAAAGAGTTGGAACTACTCGAGGTATCGTAAACGCGTATCCGTGGATGGCGAACCTTTACATAACCTGCCCTGAAGGAATTGGATCTACTGTTACAACTAGATGGCGTTGTCTCATACAGTTTTGAATTACAACAATTTTTTAACTTTTTTTTTGAACCAATGATATATTGGCACATTGTTTGGCGGTTTCCAAGTGTGGGCGTGTAAAGTCCGTGCCGAGCTCCTTGCTGTATTGGGTCCAGCTGCAGACTGCCACGCGGCCGGCCGACCGGCCGCCGCGCCAGGCCACACAAAACCGCCCGAGGCACATGCGCCGCGACACGCAGGGACGGACACCGCGCAGGGACGGACACAGGGACGGCCGATAAGGGAGGCGCAGCGGCGCACTCAGGCCACAGGTGGGGGAGGCGTGAACCATAGTTCACTACACTGCCCCCTCACAAAACACAAGTAATATGAACAGAGCTAGGAACCAAAAAACTTAGTCTGCTTTCTCACTCTAGTTCCGCGACGAACACCACCACCCTCGCCCAACACACGAGACTGTACACCTGCACCAGCCTCCACTCCGAGCCCCGAACGCAGTGGGGTTTCCGTCCGTGCACCAGCGTCGCCGGCGACACACGCGGGCTCGAGCTCTGATGCCTCAGGTCGGGGCTCCGACGGAGCAGGCGCCGAAGACGATGGCGATGCTGCTGGAGCGCTAGGCGCCGCTCCAGGTGTGCTGAACGGCGGCAGCGACGCGTCCAAGCCAGACTCCCCCGGACGAGACGGCTGCAGCGCCGCCGTCGGATTCCGAGATGGCTGCCCTCCTTCCGCAGGAATGTCACCGGGCTCCGAAGTCAGCGCAGAACGTCCTGCAAACAGTTCGCCGTCAGACCTATGCCGAAGCTGATCGATATGTCGTCTCCACAGCCTACCATCTTCAGTCTCCACAGCGTAAGACACAGGTCCATCCACTCCGACGACAACACCAGCAACCCACTTCGAGCCAACACCATAGTTCCTTGCAAACACCAGGTCAGCCACATCCAGTCTCCTGCCAGTGCTCACCTTAGCATCGTGGTTTTCCTTTTGGATCACCTGTTGTTTCTTCACCTCAGTTCGCAGGTCCGGGTGCAGAAGGTCCAGGCGACTTCGGAGGACACGCCCCACCATCAGCTCTGAGGGGGCTACGGAAGTTGTGCTGTGCGGGGTGATACGCTGGCAAAGCAACCATCGTGATAGCGTAGTCTCCCAGTCACTGTTCGACCTCTGCAACGCTAGTTTGACATCTTGTACAGCACGTTCAGCTAGTCCATTCCCCTGACTATGGCGAGGTTCTATGGTCTTATGATGAATGCCGTTCTGGCGCACGAACTCCTCAAAATCTGCTGACGTGAACGATGTAGCGTTATCAGTTACGATTACGTCCGGTAGCCCCCACCTTGAAAACATCTGTTTCAGTTTGGCTATAGTCGTCTGGGAGCAGACACTGGTGCAACACTCTGCCTCCACCCACTTGGAATAAGCATCCACCACGATCAGGACGTACCTTCCCTTCTTCGGCTCAGCGAAGTCCACGTGGATCCTCGACCATGCCCGCTCAGGCCACGGCCACATGCAGATTGGAGAACGTCCCGGTGCAGGTCGGCTTTCCTGGCAGGCTTGACAGGAGTTCACGATGTGCTCAATATGCTGATCCAGTTGAGGCCACCAGACACAGCCTCTCGCCAGAGCCTTCATGCGGCGGATGCCAGGGTGCGCCACATGCAGCTCCTTCAAGACTGCTTCATGTGCCCTGCTGGGAATGACGACACGGTGACCCCACATCAGCACTCCACGACAAACAGACAACTCCAGACGCTTCGAGGCAAAAGGTGACAGGTCTGCATCTGTAACCTGCGGCCAGCCACCCCTCTGGACAAGACGCATTACCCGAGACAGCACCGGGTCACGAGACGTCAGGAGGGCTACCTTCCTGGCGTCAAACAGCTGTTGATCATCGACCAGGAGCACCAGATCCTCCTGCGAAGAGTTCGAGTCAGGCAGAGGACAGCGGCTGAGGGCATCAGCATTGCCCATCTCTTCAGTCCGCCGGTACTGAATCTCGTATCGGTACGTCGAGAGCTTCAACGCCCACCTCCGGATTCTGGAAGACGCCATCTCAGGTAGGTCAGCATGTTCACCGAACAACATCACCAGAGGTTTATGGTCGGTGACCAGCGAGAACATGTTACCGGCCAGGTACGCGTGAAACTTGGTAACCCCGAAAACGATTGCCAGTGCTTCCCTCTCGATCTGAGAATATTTGCGTTCACATGGGGACAGACTTCTAGAAACGAATCCCACTGGCTTCTCAGTCCCATCAGCTTCCCTCTGAGCCAAAACGGCACCGATTCCCACAGAGGAGGCATCACACACTAGGACTTGCCGTTTGTTGATGTCGAAGTGACCCAACACGGAGCCAGACGAGAGGACGTCACGAGCCCACTGGAAGCTGGCAGCCTGCTCTGCACCCCAGCGCCATGCCACGTCCTTCTGCAGGAGGAGATGAAGTGGCGCCAGCTTCTGACTGCGGTCTGGAATATATCTGGAATAATACGTCAGAATTCCCAGGAACGACTTCAGCTGCTTAACGTTCTTCGGTTCTGGCGCTGACTGTATGGCTCGCACCTTGGCTGGTGTCGGCCTGATGCCATCCTTGTCAACGATGTGACCCAAGTACTCGACACTGGGCACCAAGAATCTACACTTGGCTGGTCTCACCTTCAACCCGGCTCTCTTCAGTCTTCCGAGGACGTCGTCCAGCGTCTTCAGATGCTCCTCCGTCGTTCTGCTGGAGATCAGGATGTCGTCCAGGTAAGCCACCACACCAGGTAAGTCACGAAGCACCTGCTCAATCTCCCTCTGGAACAGACTGACCGCCGAATTGAGCCCAAAAGGCAGACGAGAGTAACGCATCAACCCCTTCGGCGTGTTCACCGTCAGTACATCGCGCGAGTCTTCATGCACAATGACCTGGTTATACGCCTGTGCTAGATCCAGCGTAGTGAAGACTCGTCCCCCAGCAAGCTGCGCGAAAATATCCTGCGCGCGCGGAAGCGGATATGTGTCACACTTCACAGCCTTATTTGCAGTCAGCTTTAAGTAAGCACATACTCTGACAGTGCCATCCTTTTTCAAGACAGGAACTAGCGGAGCGGCCCACCTGCTGTGCGTTACCTGTTCAAGTACACCAGACTCTACGTCCTTTTGCAGCTGCTTCTCCACCTTTTCCTTGTAGGCGTATGGCAGGGAACGAGCTCTGAAAAACTTGGGCTGCACACTTCGGTCAATGTTCAGGCGGAGCTTCACATCCTTCAACTCCCCCAGACCTGGTTCAAACACTTCCGCATACTTCCTTCTCAACGCCGCTACTGACACATTCTCAACAGCACACACTTCCTTCCAGTCTAACTTGACAGCTTTCAACCAGTCCCGTCCCAATAGGCTGGTCCTATTTCCTTGTACCACAACAACCTTGAGGTTAGCATGCTTCTGGCCCTTGTAAGTTACTGCAGTTCTGAATTCCCCCAGGACTGAAATCACATCTCCTGTGTACGTTCTCAACCTGAGAGCGCTGGGTTTCAACCTGGGACGTATCCGTAGAGATTTGTATGTGTCCTCTCCTATCAGAGTGTTACCCGAGCCGGTGTCTATCTCCATGTCTACTTGCGTTCGCTGAAAGTAAACAGAACAGCGAAGTGGCGGAGAACTCACCTGGAGGACGCTTGCAGATTGTGGGCTGTCGCTGCTGGTAGCCGCCACCTGCTGGACGTTCCCGGCGTCTTCATCGGGCCAATTGTCCCAGTCCTCGGTGTCTGAAGCGCTGACGGCGTTCGTCACCTGCCGACGACCCCTGCCGCGGCCGGCTGGGGGCCTGCCTCGACCTGCTCCTGTGCGGCGGGGCTTTGGACAGGCCTTGGACACGTGTCCAAGTCCGTGACAGTTGTAGCATTTGGAGTTACGGAAGCGACAAACATCAGCGCTGTGATTGTCTCCAGTACACCGCCAACACTGCGGATGGGCCTGCTGCTCCCTACGAGAACCTGCACTCACTGCCTGTACAGGCTCGGCCCTCTCACCGTTATGAGACATGAGGTGGGCGTCCTTGGTCGACGTCTCCAGAGCCAGGCAGATTCTCACGGCGTTGCTGAAGTCCAGGCTCTTCTCCGAGAGAAGACGCCGCTGCATCCTCTCGTCTCCGACTCCAATCACCAGCTGCTCCAACAACCTGTCCTCCAGAGTGTCCTCAAAGCAGCAATGTTCAGACGCTTTCCTGAGAGCAGCAACATAGTCAGCTACAGCCTGACCCGGACGGCGATTACATGTTCCGAACTTGAAACGACTGACCAGTACGGACGGTTTGGGATCCTGATGCTCCTTAATCTTTTCAAGCAAATCCTTGAAACTGACTTCACCGGGCTTCCTAGGCGACACAAGACTGCGTACAAGTGAGTAGGTCTGTTTGCCACATACCGTGAGAAATGTCGCTCTTTTCCTGCTGTCCGATGTGATGCCGTTACTCTCCAAGAAGAACTGCAGACGCTCCTCCCACTCCGTCCACGAACCTGAAGTTGGCTCAAACGGCTCCAGTTGCAGGTGCCCCGCTGCTGCAGTGCCGTCTTCGTTCGACATCTTCAGCTCTTCACTCCACCATCAGCCGGGCCTGAAGTTCACCTCGTCGCCAGTGTAAAGTCCGTGCCGAGCTCCTTGCTGTATTGGGTCCAGCTGCAGACTGCCACGCGGCCGGCCGACCGGCCGCCGCGCCAGGCCACACAAAACCGCCCGAGGCACATGCGCCGCGACACGCAGGGACGGACACCGCGCAGGGACGGACACAGGGACGGCCGATAAGGGAGGCGCAGCGGCGCACTCAGGCCACAGGTGGGGGAGGCGTGAACCATAGTTCACTACAGGGCGAAAGTACAATTGTTAGGGTGCACGTTTAAAACCTCTGCAATATTCATCACGGGACGATTGGCAACGCTTTTTCTTCCGAAACTACCTAGTGAAACCATTTAGATTCTTATATAGGTCACGAAAGCAGCGGCGACACATCTTCTTGATTTCGGGCGGTCTGCATGACTGCCGGTGACTGAGTCATGTCGAAATTTCTATGGGAATTCGATTTGACCTTTCCCACCGATGTGAAACTTTCTCACCGATGTTTTCTAGGTGTGAGATCGCTATAAAATAGATATTTTCCCGCAAATATGGTCAAGCGTGGGAGTTTTTTTGGCCCTCGTGACTTGGTCGGCGAAGGGTAGGCGTGGAGGGTAACCCCATCTCCTAGGGGTTTGTGGGGCGCTGCTGCCAGGTAGGCGTCGATGAATACCTTTCGATGGAGGGGTCGCGAGCCACTGGTGCGCGAATAGTCGTGGAGGGTTACTACTCTCCAGAGTGAATTGCAAAAGTGTTATGTCCTAAATTGACCCCTGGGAGGGTGGTTAAAAATGGTTGCGGATAAGGGTGCCCGCGAGACACCGGTTTACTCGCCAGTTTTGGGTGAAATTGTTTTCAGTGCGGGGAAGGACATCCAATGACCTAGGACTTTAAAATTGGGTATAATCGGCTTCTTCTCGTCACCACAGGCAGCACGCTCGTTTTTTCAGCAAAGCTCGATCAGGGGCCAAATGCGAGGGGGGTCGTTCCAACCCCTGTGCCGTCGAAAGACGCAAAATGGCGTGTGCCGGCGAGGGTTAAATACAAATTTCGAGTCACTCCAATAATCTTATACATGCCTCGATACCCAAACGTATTGTTTTACAGATTCTCAGGTAAACAGCCAATAATTTAACTGACTTCGAAAAGCTACACAGAATACAGACGTTATACCGTCAACCGTTGCATACCACAGTCCACACCTCCCGCAAGCGCCTCCCCCTCCCCTCCAAACCCACCGTGCACGGTCAGCTGGACCCAGCTGACCTCCGTCGGGTCATCCTCCGCGTCCACCCGACACCGGTACCGACCGCTGTGATCCGGGGTCACACGGGTCAGCCGAAGGTCAGGGTCTCCAGCGGCCAGTTCGCCAGGCCGTGACCGACCGCGACCGTCGAAACTGGCCAACGTAAAAGGTCCCACCGTCAGCTTTGATGTGCTAATGATCTGTTTCTGCGCTCCGGGCTGCACTGTCAGATGCCGCGAAATATTAATTCGATATTAACTACGCGCTTTAGGCAGCAATGTGTGATATGGCGGAACAATCAGATGCTCCAATCTTTCAACAACAATAACAACAACAAAAACAGAATGCACGCATCAATTTTTTAATCCTTTTCAATTCACATGCTGTCAAACGGCACTGAACCGTGCTGTTTGGCACTGCTTGTCGCACTCACCTGGTAATAGGATTGGTCTCATTTTCCCTGAACCAGAGCACGAGACGGATCCCACGCGGGTGCTGTATTTCCCGGAACTGCGGACACGGGATCCGGACATCTGTCCCCTCCTCTGCGTCAATGGTGTGCGGGAGGCCGCCGTCGAACGCGACCGCTGGGGACACAATGACGCAGGCACGTGGGTTGATGGGGCTTCACAGTCGGGAGTTTTATCAAAGAAATGAGACCGGCACATTCTGCTATTGAATGTGTGCCTGAGACCTGAATTATTCAGATGAGACTACTGTGATTAATTTAGTTAGAATGGTTCGTAATTCAAGGGAACTTGTTACGCGTAAATGGTTTTAAAGATACTCTGAGTCATCGTCCCCATATCTCACCATTTTATCTGTGAAATGGCTGCACTTTTAAATACGAGATGCGTTGAAGCGAAGCTATTTTGCGAGAAGCGATGCACCTTTCAACAGAGTGTGAATCTATCTACATAATCGACAGCGTTCAGTTAATCGTTTATGTTAACGCGCTTGACAACATCCTGCATAATCATCGCATAAAACAAGTTTATCGGCAAGGTGTCATTCGTTTAGCAGATCATTTTCTGCAGAGCCGTTGCTGACCGCCACCTCACTACACATGATATAGTCCTCACGGCATCGGATATATGGTGGTGTGGTGGTGCAAATGCGGAGATATCAATTTTCAGCAGCTGAACCATTGCATTGCCTCCATTGGGTGCTTAGAGGGTTGCACTGGGTTAGCAGCACATATGCACGTTTTGCTCGAAAGGTCTCGGTATAACTTAGGTCGATGTGCTAGGAATATTTCATGTGCCACCTACTAGTACTGACCTACCTTGTAGGCAAATCGCCGCGCTAATGAGGGCCACCAGCAGCGCGCCGCTCCCCATCGGCCCGTTCCAGATGAATGGGAGTCGGATCCCACGCGACTGCGAACTTCCGTGCGACGTCATATGGCATCAGCCGGCTGCTCCATCACACGGGGTGACGTCCGGACGGGCGGCGACCAATCACCCCTTCAGCGGCGGCCTGCCGGCCGGCAGTGCTCACTACCCGCGCTCAAAGGTCGGTCAGCGCGTCACTAATCATGAGAACGTTCGGTGATCACCAATCACTAGTTCCGCCTAATGATAGCCATGTCACCAACCACTCCACCGTTTTTCGAGCTGCTCTCAGTCCCGCACTCCGTCTGTCCCTCTCGGCCCTGCCGATCTGGTGAGACTCTGCTGCTTCACTCCACCAGGCAGTTCGCCCTCTGCCGAGCACCGCTCGCCCGCGCTCGCTCGGCGGTCCTTCTGCCTCCTCAGCGGCCCAAACACACGCCATGGGCCATGTCGGCACCCCAAACGGTCCTCGCAGATCGGCGCGCCAGCCGCGACCGGTGCCATTTCAACGGCCCTAATTGTCGAGCCTGCTAAACAAGCGTGGTGCGCGTCGAGCTCCGACCCAAACACGGCCGCGTCGGCGTCAAACAGTGACCTGAATGGCGTCACTGTCTCTGACGAGGACGACTCTCATTTGGTCCGGGGAGGAGAGGAGAGGAGGGTGCTCCACCGAGCTGAAATAGCAATCGCCACCTGTTCGGGCTGAATTATGCGTAATGCGATGCGAACTTATATAGCCCCAAGAATATGCAATCTGTGTGCTTTTAACTTGGACTTTTGTATGTACTTCTAAGTTGAATTTGCTGTTTAACTTTTTAGACTTTGACCCAAGTTCCAGGTTATGCAATTGTTTGGACTGGAGCAAAGCTCATAAGCGTATCATCTGAATAAACGTTGACAATTTCTTTCCAAAACAAACCCGACATCCATCCTTCACAACCTTATCGCTCATAAAACGTCTACATCGTCCACGATAGCGCACACCTCCATCAAGGACGATTCTCCGAGAAACGACAGCCATTTTACAGCCAATCCATTTGCGACGGGCTGCGTCGTGGCTGCCGTCCGCTGCTGCCGCCACCGCCCACCGCCGGACCGGCGACCGCGACTAGGACATATTGCCCGGACATTGCGCCCCTGTCGGCTGGCTGCGGGCCGGCGTGACCGGCCGAGATGCCCCGGGGCACTGCGGAGGCCGGGCACCGCCGGCGGCAGGCGTGCCATTTCCGGACAGCCATTTGTCGCCGTCTGTGTAACGGCTGCACAAGAATAGAGCGGCAGTCCCACGGGACTGGCCGGCTGGCCGCCGCCCCGTGCTGCAGTGACGGTCAGGGCTGAACGGGTGGGTCGCTCCGCCACGGATCGGCGTGCCGCGTGCCATCAGCCAGAGGCACCAGTGACTGCAGGAGTTGAGCGGCGGAGAGGAAGGTCCAGTCTATACGGCCCTGCTTCACATAGAGATCTTATATACATGTATATGTTACGGGTCATATGCTAACTTGGGCAGTATGCAAACTACCCGGGCAGTATGCATACTACCCAACAGCCCGGGCAGTATGCATACCGCCCGGGTAGTATGCATACTACCCGACCCCTTGGGCAGTATGCATACCGCCCGGGCAGTATGCATAGGTACCTCCCGGGTAGTATGAATACTACCCACATTTCTTCTCACGGGCAAGATGTTTACTCGGGCAGTATGTTGACCACACTTCGTGAGGCTTGTTAATGCAATAACTCGCGTATATATGTGAATGACAAATGTTTTAACCTTCCAGATTCCACCTAAACCGTACATACCTAATGGTCTTATAACCAGCACCATTGAGTTGGAAAGGAAAAAAAATTGTTCATAAAACATACATCGCACAACCCTAGTAGAGTTGGGTTCATGTGCTGACCCTTGGTGACCTGACCTGTGACCTGACCTGGTATTATCAGTGACATCCAATAGCAACATATGTACTAGGCAGCTTACACCCTACCGCTGATTTTCGACAAAATGCGCCTTGGCCTCTGCCCCCCCCCCCCCCCGATGCCATACGCGCCACCTCTCTCAGTGAGAGAGGGTCGCCATCCGAAATGTTTTCCAATCGGGAACAATTTAATGACAATGGGCGCCTCAGATGCCTTCGTTTGCTGAATTTGCCAAGGAACTGCGAGTGCAATTGTGTTCCGAAAGTGAGATGGCTTTTCAAAATTTACTTTGGTGAGTTTTCCTCAGAACTTGCAACGTCTTACATATAAATGATTTCATGCAGCACTAGGTATTGAAATTGTAATAACCAGGGCTGCGGAGTCGGAGTCGGAGTCGGAGTCGGAGTCGGAGTCGGTCGGAGTCGACAGTTTTACCCGGAGTCGGAGTCGGAAATGGAGTTGCCAAAATCTTACCGACTCCGACTCCCCAATCGGAGTTAGCGCTGCATGGCTCGATGTCATGCCCTACACCTGTTCGCTTGACAACACTACGCTCGTTGACCTTTCCAAATCAGATTTTGTTCAACAAAGGTCAATTCTTGTTTTGGACGAGCGTTTACGGCGAGAGCATACAGAAGACGGCGGATTCGCCAAAACCTACTTTTAATTCTGCATGTTATTTATAAAGTATATTTGCAATGCAAGGCCTTAGAACTCAAAAAGATCGTTTCAATTCAGGCAAAATAAAACAAATATCCACTTGGAACTTCATTTACCTATCATGATATGGATTTTGATAGAAACATCCGGAGTCGGAGCTGGAGTCGGAGTCGGAGTCGGAGTCGATTTTTGAAGCTGGGGTCGGAGTCTGAGTCGGAATCATCCGAAAATCCATCGACTCCACAGTCCTATAGTAATAACGCCCTCTACGGTCAAGGTGCCAAACCTAAGCCATCAAATGCTGACACTATATCGTCGTTTCTTTTCACTCAGTTCACGCTTCACAATGACGACTTGTAATTGTTGGCCACTGGTTATTCAACAATGGATTTGGGAAAAAGCAGCTTCAACACTTTATTCCAATCCTCATTCCATCCTACGATCGATCGATCATGTTTGACGGCAAAAAATTATTATCGGTTGATCTATTGTTATCTAGAGAGCCATTTATATTCTTAATGTGGACATTGATTACACAACTTAAAGTCGGAAAGCGGGCAGTATGCAAACTGCCCAAGCTTTTGGGCGGTATGCATACTGCCCAAGGGGTCGGGTAGTATGCATACTACCCGGGCGGTATGCATACTGCCCAGGCTGTTGGGTAGTATGCATACTGCCCGGGTAGTTTGCATACTGCCCAAGTTAGCATATGACCCGTAACATATATAAGATCTCTATGCTGCTTCAGACATGCAGCAGCAGCGGACGGCAGCGGGAACAGGGCTTCCACATGTATGCAGTCCATGACGTATAGCGGCAAATGTTTGATATTAAAGCAAAAAAGGGCAAATAATAACGATTCACCCTGATGTGTCATCAATTTGTCCCAATTGAAGGTTGATTCATTCATCGCGATCCATCATGTAGGGAGGCTCCACTAATAGTTTAGCGACCTGGTAAGCATCAGCATAGAAATACTTCAAGCGTCTTTTGGACATTTTATTGGTATGAACATAACATTGAACACCTCTTTATTTGCATTTAAATTTTGAAAAGTATGGTGTTTCCAATCCAAGGAACAACAGCATAGCCTTACAAAAGTTAAAATTTATAATAGTTACAATTTATTATCGTCTATTGTACTATCTTTAACCCGCGCACCGACGGGGGTCTGCGCCAACTTCGCACCGACGGGGGGGGGGCGGATGACCGCCCCCCTGAGATCTCGAGAACGAAGCAAGATAGCGACAAGCGGTAAACGGCTCGGATACGCACGGCCAAGATCTACAATTTTTACAAAGGTCATTTTCAGGTCAGGTCAAAGATGCCGTCACAGGGGTCGAAAAAGTCAAAATGGCGGCGCTGGATATGGAGAGAGTTTTTCTCGAATAACTTTCGAATTAGTCAAGATAGGAACAAACTAAGGGCAGCATCGTGATCCTCTCGTCAATCCGCATCGAATGATATATATATGTTGACCTCGAAAGGTCAAGGTCAAAGGTTGACCTCAGGTCACGTGACCTCGAGGTCATCATGTATATCACTGAGAGCTTTTTTGATTCCTTTTAAGCATATTAGGGAAATTGGTCTAAAACAACACCCTGATCAATTCTCCGAATATACCCCAAATACATTTTCTTTGAATATCGCTCTGAAATTCTTCTAATATACCCTACACTGAAACCTTTTTGATACCTTTTAAGTATATTAGGGGTTTTGGTCTAAAACAACACCCTGATCATTTCTTCGAATATACCCAAACTATACCCTTGTTCTTTAAATAGCTGCCTTGAATTCTTCTAATATACCCTAGTAAGTACCGAAGAGGAAAGGAATATGATTCCTGTTCTATTCCCTGAGATACCCACAGTACACTCCTTTTAACCTACCAAAATACCCTTACATCGAAACCTCTAGTATTCCTTCTAAGCGTATAAGGGGAATATTTTGCAAAATATGCTCGCATTATACCACTTAACACTCCCGTATTATTCTGTGATTTCCATCACTGATCTCAATGTATTCTTGCATTAAACCCCACATAAACCCAGAAGGGAAAATAATAGTGCCCTATGGTATATTCGTCGTAGAACTTGCTCAGAAACTGTCTCATTACTCTCAGCTCCCTCGTCCGATCTCCCTTTATATATCGTAACACATCCAAAACTCACAGACATTTGGTCTTTTATTATTATTCATGTTTTACATTGGTGACAACAGCATGGACATAGCTTCACCGTTTCTCTTCCGATAAGACGCAACTTTGGATAAGTAAATCTGAGATCATCATGAATGGATATTTAACCTTCCAGGCGGTGGGGGGGGGCATTTTTTGCCCTCCCCCCCTCTTTAGTTTTTTCGATATATCTCGAGAACCGCTGCGCCGATCGTCACCAAACTTTCAGTACCCTCCCGGGAGCAGCTAGCGCACATGGTGACCAAAAATTTTTCCAAAGGCTATGATAGGTTGGCCGCTCATGACGTCAGAGTGACGTCATTTTTGCCATTTTCGACCCAAAAAAAGGTTTCGCGGGAAGAGCTGTCAGGCCTACAACTTTAGAGATACAGAAAAATGTGTCGGTCATAAAAGGTGTGAAATTAAAAGGGCTACAAAACTGTTATTTCGGTTTTTCGAATTTTTTGATGTTGACCCCCAAAAATCAAAAAATAGATTTTTTTGATATAATAGCCAAAAAATCCAAAAAGTTTTTTGAATTTCGAAAAAACCGGAATATATGTGATAGCCCCTACCGCCTTCTATCTACATACCAAATTTGAGATCGATACCTCTTTTTTTGGCCAAGTTATAGCGAAAAAACTGTTCAAAATTGATGACGTCAAATTTTCAAACTCAAT